TCACTGAATCCTTTCATTCTGCACATCTTCTAAATAGGTAGGGATGGAGGTGTCCTGGAGGGCTAAAGTTTGTCTGACTTTCCAAGCTTTGTGTCCCAATAACCACTGCTACACAACCAGTTATTAGAAAACGAAGAGCTTAAAGCAACAATTTGTGTTTTCATGCATTCTGTGGGTTAGGAGCCTGGAGATGGCTATGAAGAAATGTTCAAAATCCCTAGCTATCAGAGAGAGGTAAGTCAAAACAACTCTGAGATACCATCTCACCCTGGAAACAATAGTAAAGTTCAATAGGGTAGCAGGCAACAAATGCTAGTGAGGATGCGGAGAGACTGGAACCCTTATTCACTGCTGGTGGGAGTGTAAAATGTTACAGCCACTATGGAAGGTGGTCTGGTGCTTTCTCAAAAAAGTTGGACATAGAAATAAATACCATTTAGCCCAGCAATTCCACTACTGAGAATATACCCTAAAGAAATCAGAGTCACAACTCAAATGGATGTATGCACACCTATGTTTATTGCTATGTTATTCACAATAGCAAAGAAATAGAAGCAGCCCAAGAGCTTATCAACAAATGAATGGCTAGAAAAGCTGTGGTATAGCCACACAATGGAATATTATGCAGCACTATAAAACAATGAACTTGAAAAAATACTATACAACATGGGTGAGCCTGGATGGATGACATTATGCTGAATGAAATATCTCAGTGACAAAAGGCAAATATTGCGTAACATTCCTGTTACAAAATAGGACTGACATGGAAGGAGAATAGGTAGAGTGGATAGATAATGAACACTGCATTGGAACACATAAGGGGGAAGGACTGTCTGAAAGAAATGTAATTAGGCATTGTATGTATAACCATTAACAAGAGGTGCATTGCAAAGTGGACTGGGGAATGAAACCCAATCTTTCTGTATACTTTGGTTAAACTCACAATAAGAAAAAAAATCATAATGTAACTTGGATGTAAATGGAAGACTCTTTTGTTCTGTTTACTGCAGACGAACAATGTGAATGCACTATCATTTATTTTCCCAGATCCCTGTTGGAATTCACTTAAGTAATTTAGACGTTAATTTTTAAAGCTAGCCTTTCACTGTTAGTTTGGGTTCCCCCTCCCCTCAACAACTGCATACATGGGCAAATACATCCATAGAGTGGATTCTTGTCAGTAGGATTCCCAGATGATGTTTGTACTGCATAATTTCGCTCTATACGAGTGTTCATTATCCAAAGCTGCTTGTGCCAACCAAAAGACTGAACGTCTCCTGTGGTTCAAATCCATCAGTAGCCCCGTGGGAAAAAGCTGGCCATTCTCTTCCCAGTAGGATTTGCAGCCTCAGAAACCCCAACAGAAGACTGCTATGGCCTGAAACCGACGTGACATGATGCCAATGGCTTGAGTCACAGCTTCGTTCGACAGGGGCTACAGCTTACTCTCTACCTTGCTTTTCTCTTAGGTGTGAGGCTAAACACCTTGTCAAGCTGGAGTTCTCTGTATTTCCTTTTCTGTGAACTGGCTGTAATCTATGCCTGATTTTACGACGGTTTGTTGCTTATTCAGGGCCACAACAGTACAACTGTCAGAAACTGAAGCTGGATTTAGAAGAGTCTGGGGCACCAGTGGTATCACTACTGATGTCAGATGGATCTTGGCTGAAAGCACAGAATACCAGAACATCCATTTGTGTTTTATTGACTATGCAAAGGCATTTGGCGGTGTTGATCATAGCAAATTATGGCTAGTGATGAGAAAAATGGGAATCCCACAACACTTATCTATGCTCAGACAAAACTTATACCTAGACAAAACAGCTGCTGTCTGGACAGAGCAAGGTAACACTGCATTGTTGAAAATCAAGAGACCTGTGCATCAAAAATGTATCCTTCCTTCATCTCTATTCAATGTGAATGCTGAACTCAACAACTTGCATAACACAGATGACACAATCTTGCTCATTGTGAGGAAAACCCAAAGCACTTGCTGGGGAAGATCAAGGATTCCTTCAATATGGATTACATGTTAGTATTAAGAAAACAAAAATTTCACCACTGGGAACAGGCAACATCATGATAGATGGAAAAAAAATTTTAAGTTGTCAATGATTTCCTTTCTTGGATCCAAAATCAACACACTTGAGTTCAGAAAACTTTTTTCATTGAGGAAGTCAGCCGTCAAGGACCATTACAGAGTACTCAAGAGCAATGATATCAATTTAAAGAGTAAAGTGTACCTCATCCAGGCCATGATCTTTTCAATTACTTGGTATCCTATCTGAAAGCTGCACAATGACTAAAGATAACAAGAGAATCAATGTCCTTGAATTGTGATGTTGGAGAAAAGCATTGAATATCCATCCTATGGACTGCCAAGAGAACAAATCTGTCCAGAAAAAAGTGAAACCAGGGTGCTTCTTGTAGGCAAGGATGGTGAACTCCATCTCACATATTTGGGGCATATTTTAAGGAGGGGCTGGTCATGGGAGGACCTCATGCTTGGAAAGGTGGAGCGTCAGTGTAAAAGAGGAAGATCCTCAACAAGACGAATGACACAGTGATGGTAATAAGTTGTGTTGGAGATGGTGAGATTGGGTCAGGACAGGGCAATGTTCAGAGCTGTTATTCACAGGGTCAACTTGATGGTACATAACATATTCTATACTGGGATATGAGCTGCAAATATTTTCCCAGTTTGCTTTGACTTTGCTTATGGTCTTTCTTGCCTTGGAAATATGGCCCTCTATTTTTACGACATTAAGGATCAGCTTTCCCCCCCTGTAGCTTCAGTATGTTGAAGCATCTTTTGAAAGGCCCTAGTTAAGTATTACTTCATTTGGGGTCCATGCAACTCTGAGATGGAGCTCCACCTTTATTCCCTCTGCTCCCCACTCAGAGAGGCAGCGTCATGGAAGCTCTACCCTCTCACAGGCAGTCCTGCTGGCACTGTCTGCCGGTCTCCAGTGGTCTGGATCCACCAGTGGTTCCACAGGAGGAAGGCTGGGCGATCGTTCTGGCCAGTTCACACTAAGTGGTCAACAAAAGCTAGCCATTGTGATTTGAATGTTCTGATGGCTTCAAAAGCCAAAGCCAGTCCCGGTCTGGGACATCTCTCTCTTGGCAAATTTTGCATTAGCAGAGAAAGCCAAGCCGTTCCCATACAATCAGACAGCACGCCATTAAAACACCACTCATGACCCTGCGATATGACGAGCACTATTACTCAAATTTTGTCCTGTCAACTTTCTCAAGAGCACCAGGAAGAAAAAGATGAGTGGAACACTAAACTACACTGCCAGGGGCGTATATATCAAATGAGTGGAGAAAGACTATTTGTTAAAACTCACCGAATGTATGAGGCATTGTCATCAGTTCTGCCGTTGGTGAAGGGTGGGTTACAGATGAAAGGGGGTTTCCAGTTGTGGGGAACCATTCATCCATCAGCCAGCTGCACCCAGAACCCTACTGCAGAAACAGAATGTTTATAGCACGGAAGAGCACTGAACTTGAACACGTGTGGGATTCCGATCTCCAATCATTAATAAGTGCGTGACAAGTGCTCCCATCATCCCTCGGTGCTATTGTGGAGTGAGGCATCCAACCCTGCAACCTCCCTTCTCCACTCTAACCTTAACCTTGATAGTGGTACCTACAGTTGTGGCAATCAGAGATGACATGGAGATGAGCAGGCAATGTGTCCCTCAGAGGAAAACTGTTATGAGCAGGTAAGGGCACAGAATGACAGACAATGCTGAACATCCTGTTGGAAAGCAGACAACTGTCTGGTCATCGGTCCCTGGAGGCAGGAGACAGATGTTACAGCAAAATATGTGGGAAGTGCAGGGGAGGTTAGAGATTGGGAAGTTTACCTCAGACTCATCCATACCTATTCAATTTGTATGCGGGGCAGATCATTCCAGAAGCTACTTTATGATGAAAAGTGTGTTATCAGGATTGGAAGAAAATTTATCAATAACCTGCGTTACGCAGATGACACAACCTTGCTTCTAGAAGTGAAGAGAACTTGAAGCACTTGCTGCAGAATATTAAACACTACAGCCTTCAATACTGCATCACAATACCAAGAAAACCAAAATCACCACCACTGGACCAATAGGCAACATCATGTTAGATAAAGACTGGAGTTAACAAATTTCTTTGAATCCACAATCGACATTCATGGTAAACGGAGTTCAGAAATCCAAAGACGTGTTGCCCTAGGGAAATAGGCTGTCAAGAGACCTCTCCACAGTGTTAAAGAGCAATGAGTTCAGTTTTAAGATCAAGGTGCACCTGCTGCAAGTATTTTTAGTTACTTCCTATGCATTTGGAAGTTGGGACAGTGAATAAAGATGACAGAAGAATAACTGATGCCTTTGAGTGCTGGTGAGACAGGGCAAACGGGCAAGAGAAGGAAAATAGGTAATGAATACTGCACTGAAATGGGTGACAGGAAATTCTGAAAGGAATAGACAGCTAGAAACCAAGTATATGACAATAGTTTTACAAGGGGAATTAGTGGGGCAGGGAAGAAAGTGTACATGTATAACTGAATAAGTAGTTAAGAAAAGGAGTACTGGTATCCCACGTACTGTTAAATGAACAAGTCAGTCTGTTTTGGTGAAGTGCAATGGGGGAGCTTCTCAGAGGCAAGGACGGTGAAACTCTGTTTCACATACTTTGACCATGTTGTCCGGTGGAGTCAGTCCTTGGAAAAAGACACTCTCCTGGGAAAGGTGGAGGGCAGAGTAAGAGAAGACGGCCCTCAACACGATGGATGGACTGACACAGTGACTGTTAATGAGGAACTCAAGCTTATCAGAGACTGTGGGCACCATACAGGTGAGCCAAGGTTCAGATCTGATGGTCTCTGAGGCACAGTCTATCTGATGGCAATAAGAACAATATCCTTTGTCACGGCTGTTTCAATAGTAAAAGTAAACAAGGCATTTAAGAAACGGCACAAGTCATCAGAATAAAAACTCCTTCCATCTCTTTTTGTAATGAATATGGTTTCTCTCATGTTGAAGATTTAGATGCTGCTAGAAAAAAACCTTCTGAAGCCCGCAGTAAAAAAAGACCTGTTGATATTTCATTTTCTAAAGCAGAGAATCATTACATGTAAATGCAATAAACACATCTCAAAAAAGAACGATACAACTTTTATTATTCATGGATTGTAAAGATACTTCTGCTACATAGTTTATGAATTTTATGAGATTATACATTTTCATTTGTATGAAGTTCAACTGTATACAATTTTAAGGTGATATGTCTAGTAGTGTATCTATAATCTTTAAAAAGTTTAGAGTTTTTGGAATGTACAGTATATGAGGTAAAATCAAGATTACAATAGAAATTGTTTACTCCTCTTCACTGATTTTGCAGTGAGGCTCAAATGGCAAATACACTATTAAATGACATTTACTATCAAAAATAGGTGTTCATTTGAGTTTACTATGAAAAACATAGGCCACTGTAAACTTGCCACAGTGGCACATTGACCATTTAGACATTCAGCTCTATAGAAATCTCTGGGCGCTGACACTCAAGCTCATTTGTGTGCCAAATGTGGCACTCTGAAGGAATTTCTAAAAAACAATCACAATCACACTTGTTTAAGGGGAAGATAATGGCCTATACATACAAGATTAGGTTTAAATAAAATGTAAACGTATAGTATATTATAGTGACAGACCGTTCTTACCACTTGGAAAGTTCATGTTTATCCGTGTCTTTTTTGAACAAAGGTTAATGTTTTTTCAACGGCACAGCTCATTTGACGGAAAACAATTACAATACATGCCCATTCTAATACAAGATAAATTCTTCAGAGATCTTCAAAGCACAAAACATACAGTTCATTTTCTCAAACTGACAGAAGTGCTTAGTAATCACTAAAATGCTAACCTCAGCAACTAAAGATTAGTGATTCTCTACTCTAAAATTCAAATAATAAATTAAAAAGCTAGTTACAATGTTTTACAGATAACAGGTGTGATAAAACAAGAATTTTAGATAGTTCATTACAAACTGTATATTCCTGGCAGTTGCTGACATCTGGGCTAGATGTACAATGTGGTACTTGACAAGATGCAATCTGATCATCCAGTACCTCACAAATACAAGCTCACGAAACGGTAATGATTGATGCAGCTGCAAAGTGCTCAAATGCAACGTTAACACATGCAATCAACAATTTGGAACAGACATGACATTAAACATTAGTTTTTCAAGATAGAAAGCAGCCTGAAATTTACTGGTGCAAATTAATTTTGTCTTCGGATTTGGTGACCCAAACAAAAAGGCTAGGTTTGATTATGAATTCTGATGGTGATGGCAGTAGTTATGGGACAGCAAAAGTTGTGGGAGTTCTTCAGTTAGCTCATACTTGACAACAGAGTGCCTAGTGGCACGGAGAACTGCTCTACGCGGACACATTATGCTCGCAGACACGTATGTATAGCCCCAAGTCCCACAAACAGAAGCCAAATTAGAGGTTTGAAATTTGAAAATGACTTTAACTTTCTACTTTAAAAAATTAATTGCCTATAAAAAAGCCCTCGCTTCTTTTCTCATGTTTTCAAGACCTGAAGAGGTTCTGTAATAGTAAACATTAAAATATTTTTAGGCCAAGTGGACTTGTCTTTGCTCTTGAAATGATTTACCTATGAATTTATGAACATATAAGTGAAGAACTCCACATTACCAAACAAGAAGCTTCTTTTTTATGCATATTTTTTTCAATCAAGTTTTCTTATTTGCTAAAGCCCATTCAGCATACTCCCACTTACCAAATAATTAAGACAAATGAGGAGGTAGAAATATAGCACTAGATTGCATTCACAGCATTGGACGTTAACATTTTTTTTGGTACAGCATGTTAGTGTAACTTTATTCTGAAAATTTTACTTGGTAATAGATCAGGTTCATCACGGTTACACTCATATGCTGATTGGTCAAAATAGTAATGATACATTGTTGCCTCTTAGAAAGGTTATTCTACAAGAAGCACGTCTTAATAAAAAAAAGTAGGGAGGAAAAAAGTCCCAACTGAGCTAAAACCCTAAATTTGTTATTTCTGTGGCTTGCATTCTAATCAAGTGCCAGCCTTTGCCTAATAGTATAAGCACTGTAAATGGCAAGAACGACGTGCTGTAGTCTCAATGCCAGTGCTAAATGCCACTGTTTTTGTAAAAGCAATATAGAAATCATTTTAGTACATGACAAAATAAAATGTAATAAAGCAGTAAAAAATAAAGTTGTATTTTCACGTGATTACAAAGTACTGGATGATAAAGGCAATGAGGATGGAAAAGACGGCGAAGAGGACGAGGATGATGGCCGCACACTGTTCGTCGCTGAGGGCCCGGCGAGGCCGCCCGCTGTCCGCCGTGTCTCTGCTGGTGCTGGCCGGCGGCTCAGTCCGCTGGGATATGAAGAGCACTGTGGTGCTGAAGGGTCCGACCAGGTCCTGGTGCCCTGCGGGGTCTTGGCACTGGCGAATGGCACACACACGGAAACGGTACTCACAGTTCAGCTGAAGGCTTGAGTACCGGAAGGAAGTGTCAGGACCTTTGTAAATCTGTTGGATAAAGGAAGTGTTAAAAATGACTTGCTTAAAAATTATTTTTTATATAAATGCTGGCATTACTGCTTTTAACTGTTAAGTGACATTTAAAAGATAGTAATCTAAGGACATTTTTATGGGTCTACAAAATAAGGAAGGAGAAATCTGAAAAAAATATAAAAGCAGCTTGGAGAGAGCTTTCAGACAGGGGAGGACAAAAGAAAGGCCAGAGCTGCCGGAGAACAGGCAGGCCCAGCCACAGACATGCCGTCACTTCCATAAACAGACAAGCCAAACTGCTGTGAGGGCAGTAAAAAAAAAAAGTGTAATCTTATTTCCTACTTACCTTTGTTTAACTAGTAAATTTTTGTACAATTTCAACATATTTGTGTTATGAAGAGGTGCTTTCTAGATATGTATGTTGTTGTTGCTGCTGAGCTAGTAAGTTGGAAATGACCCAGAGCTGACCCTCCAGCGGGTTTTTAGATTGCATGAGAGGAAACTACCCATTGTTTTCCTGTGGAGCAGCTGGTGGATTCAAACCGTGGGCCTTCCAGATTGCAGTGCAGTTTTTTTACCACTAGGCCACCACAGCTCCGTAGATAAATGGCAAAACGTTTTATAAACTCTGGAGGGAAGACCACATAGAATCACAAAAAGTCTTAAAGTCCAACTCCTTTCTCTCATCCTTAGAAAGGAAACAAGACAGGAATTCCATGGCTTTTCAAGGCCAAGTGTCTTGATCTAGAAGCTGCAAGGTGAAACTGGCAGGTTTAGACCCTGCTTAAAGAATTCACAACTCTTGGGACCTTAGACCAAATATAAGACAGGAAGAAACGTGGTTTTCTTTCTGGTAATTAAAAGGCTAAATGAACTATTCCTTGTTACAGCACTTAGCACAGTGGCCAGCACCCAGTGAATGGTCACTGCTAATGCTAATTTTCAGTCCATTCCCTCCTATCCCCCAAAGTTGTTTGCAAAGTCAAGCTGGACAGGATTAGGTGATTTAATCAAATGAGTTCCTCCAGTTAACTGGTGGGCTACAGATGAACTAATACCTGGACTAGTATTTTTTAAAACATTCTTAGTTGTCATACATGTTATCAGTGTTGTATAAAATTTAAATACTGGTTTGTTCCTAAGGGAGCAAAGTAAGATTTCGGTCATAATTAGTGTTTCTAGAATCTTAATATATTGTTGCTTAGTGTCATTGAGCTGACCATGACTCCCGTGCCATCCTCACTATGTCAGAGGGAACAAGGTGGACAATCTCCTCCCATGCAATTTACAGCCTCCTGAAAAACCAATGGCTCATCTAGGAGCTGACTCGACAGCAATGAGTTTGTTGTATTTCTGAGAGCTTTATGACTAGGAAGCTCTGGTGGCACAGACTATAGGGAGTTAAGTCAAAGGAGAAGATCTGAATCCACCAGCAGCTCCTTTGGATAAAAATGGGCAATCTCTTCCTGTGGAACAGTATCAACCTCCAAAAACCTGTTGGAGGGTCAGCCATGAGTCAGTTCCAACTCAATAGCAATGAGCTGAATTGACTGGAAGTTAATGACTGAAGCTTACACTTTGCAAGCCAAAATGTTTATCAATGATACTGAAAAAAATACATAAAGGAGTAAGTCTTAAAATAGATCTTAAGGAAAACAGTAAATATTCATTAGTTCAGAGACACAGATGCATGTTTCAGGGAGTGGCAATATGAAAATGGTCCATGCCAGGAAGACAACGGAGGATTAACTTGAGTTAAACAGAAGAGTATATTAGGAAGCATTAAAAACTAAAATCCAATAAGGAGATAAATTTAGTAAAAAAAAAAAAGTGTCATGGATATGAGTGATTTTAATTTTTGTCTTTATACTTGTCTTTACTTTCAATTTGTTTCCAAATGAAATATGAGCATGGAAACAAAAGTAGTCAGAAAATATATAAACAAAACAACATGATCATATACATAAAACCCAACACCTCAGGAAGGGGCATGCGGAGAGGACTGAGTTACTAAACAGGTGGAAGAATTCAGGCTGAATTCAACCTAGCAGGATTACATGTTAACACTAATCAGAAAGTTGGTATTTCAAATTCACCAGCAGTCTTCTCTGGTAAAGGTTTCCAGTCCTGGAAATGTGATGGGAGGTCTCTTGAGCTGTAACCCTCCTGACAGCTGGGGGACCCAGGAGTATGTGCGAGGGCACAGAGGTAGACGAGCAGGATAGGGCTTTTTGCTCTGAGTTTAGGGGGCCCGAATATGGTGTTTATGAATCAACAAAAGACTTCTGAAAGGGAAAAAACATAAACTCCCAAGGAATTAAAGTGTGGAGTGCTATGCCATAAGTAAAGCAAGAAGGAAAAAGCCAAAAGGGAGAACTTGGGAAAGAAGATACTAAGATCAAGTTTTCAATTCTGTGTTTCAGAAGTTGAGACGATTTCTAAAAACTCACTGCTCTCGTAAGGTGCCACACAGTTCAGTGCGATTCGCAGCGACCCTATAAACAAAAAACAGACCTGAACCCTGTCCTATCCTGTCATCCTCATCATCTCTGACATACTGGAACGCAATGCAGTAGTCACTCTGTCAGTCCATCTTGTTTGAAGGTCTTTCTTTCGCTTATCCTCCACCCCTCCAAGTATGATATCCTGGCCCAGGTAACAGCCACTCCTACAACATGCTCAAAGTAAGTGAGATGAAGCTTTGCTATCCTTGCGTCTAAGGAGCACTCTGACCACCCTTTCCCCAAGACTTATCTGTTCTCTTGGTAGTCCATGGGACGTTGAGTGCTCTTCTCCAACACAACTCAAAGACAGCAATAATTCTTTTGTCATCTTTATTTACTGTCCAGCTCTCAGAAGCATAGCAAGTGACTGGAAGGACCATAGTCTGAATCAGGAGCACCTTAGTCTTCAAAATGATATCTGGTGGACTCCATATCAGTGACCCTCGGTTTCTGAGGCAATAACTCTTTACAGGAAGAAGCTGTCCATTGCTTTATCAAGAATTAACCAGGGGACTTGAACAGCTCATGCTCGCAGTAGAATATGTTACATATTATGCCACCAGAGCTCTTTATCTAAGTCATATAGGGGGCATCTTACAGGCCTGAAGAAAAAAGGAGAACTTTTCCATGTGGGGAGGCTGAGATATCCAGAGGGTGCTCTGGCTACATGGTCTGCAGGAGGTGTGCTGCCAACCCAAAGGTGGCAGCCTGCGGACAGTTCAGTGGTTCTACAATCTCATCCTCTGTGATTTACGGCCTCTGAAAATGCCACAGGTTCAGCTAGGTGCTAATTCTGACTTGATGGTATACAACATCAATAATCCGGCATTGAAGAGCCTCGACAAAACGAACTGACACAGTGACTATAACAATGGGCTCTAGAGTGGCAGAAATGATGAGGATGGCACAGGACAAAACAGAGTTCAGATCTGATGTTCAAAACATTGTTTGTACCCTCACAGAAGAGGGCAAGTAAAAAAATCATACACTAGGTTGTTTGTGTCTTCACAGAAAAGGGCAAGTAAAAAAATGCACAACTTTAAACAATAACTTTATAAATAATATCACATGACTAAAACAAGAGCACACTGGTGGCCCAGTGGGTAAGGAATTGTGCTGCCAATCCAAAGGCAATCAGTCTGAATCCATCAGAGGCTCCTCAGGAGAAAGACAAGTAATCTGTATGATTAGAGACCTGAAAACCCAGTGGAGAGTCAGCTGTGAGTTAATTCCGTCTTGATGGCAATAAACAACAATCTGATTAAAACATACCTGTCGTCCTTCTATGTCTTATGAGCCAATTACTCATTTGCAGGCAGAGTGTGGAAAAAGGCAATTAAAAAGATCTGCAGTTAAGAGAATATCCTGTAGGAGATTATGGACATTTTATGTGAGTAACACTAAATTAAACACCTTAGTTGTGAAGCTTGTGTATTTCTAGAGGGCCAAGAATTTAAACAAGCAGGTCAACTGCAATAGAATTTGATAGGAAAACATTTAAAAAAATTTGCTTCTTTCATCTGATACGTGTCATTATTTAGTTTTGGAATACATCATACATTATGTTGGTAGGTGCCACCAGAGTTTGCAACCTTGCTCCATCTTGCAGCATCCTCAAGGTCTCTACCATGCTTAAGGCCACCGCTGCAGTCACGACATCAATTCACCTTGTTGATAGTCTTCCTTTCTTTAGTTGACACTACCTTTCCCAGGATGTTGCCGTAAGGTGCCATCTAGTCAACTATGACTTGTCATAACACTGTGAACAGCTACATGCCCTATCCTGTGCCATCCTCGCCAACTCTGCTATGCTCGAGGCCACTGTTACAGTCCTGTAAGGTAGACTGTAGCACTGCAAAGTCAACACATTTTGTTGGGGGGAGGTCTTCCTCTGACCTTCCACCTTTCCCAACATGATGTCCTCTTACAAGGCCTTTTCCCTTCCGAGAACATGCCAAAGTATGTAAAATGATTTCACCATCCTTGCCATCCAGGTGCATTCTGGATGTACTTCCTCCGAGACAGATTTGCTTGTTCTTTTAGCAGTCCATGGGATATTCAGCACTCTTCTCCAACACTAAAAATCAAAGGCATCAATTTCTCTTCTGTTACCCTTATTCACTGTCCAACTTTTTGATGTATAGCAATTAATGGAAAAGATTATGGTATGGGTCAGGCACGCCTTAGTCTTTAAACCAGTATCACTGCTTGTTGGCATTTTGTAAAAGTCTTCACAGCCGATTTCCCAAATACAAATTTTTTAACCTCTTAACTGCTGTTAGCATGAGTGCTGATTGTGGATGCAAGTAAAATGAAATTGTTGACAACTTTGATTTCCCCCCCCTACATCTATCATAATGTTGTCTATTGGCCCAGTAGTGAGTTTTATGTTTCCTTAATTTTGAGAAGTAAACGAAACTGAAGGCTTATCTTTGATCTTCTGCAGCAAGTGTTTCAAGTCTTCTTTACTTGAAGCAAACAAGGTTGAGTCTTTCACATAATGCTGGTTGTTAATAGTCTTCCTTCAATCCTGATGCCACATATTTCTTCATACAGTTTAGCTTCTCTAATGATTTGCTCAGCATTCAGACTGAATATGTGTAGAAAAAGGAGACGATCCTGATGCACTCTTTCCCGGGTTTTAAACCATGTAGTGTTTGTTCCCTTGTTCTGTTCAGACAAAAGCTTCATGGTCTAGGTATAGGTTTCATGTGAGCCCAATTAAGTGTTCTGGGATTCTCATTCATAATTCATTATGATCTACACAGTTAAATGCCTTTGAATAGTCAATAAAACACAAGTAAACATTTTTCTGGGATTCTCTGCTTTCAGCCAAGATCCAACTTACATTAGCAATGATATCCCTAGTTCCATGGCTTCTTCTGAATCAACTGTGACTTTTCTCTGTTGATGTACTTTTAACATCTGGTTTGGGTAATTTCCAGCAAGATTTTACTTTCTTGTAATAACTGGATTGCTTTTAGTCAGTTGATAGGTAGCTAACGTCCACATTTCTTGACACAGACTAGTGAGCATGCCCAAGACGGCATCTGTTTGTTGAAACACATCAACGGCCATTCTGTCAATTCCTAGAGCTGTATTTTTTGCCAATTCCTTCAGAGCAGCTTGAACTTTTTTATTCATTACCACTGGATCTTGATCATACTCCCAGCAAAGTAAGGGGAAAATGGTGAGCTCAGTGTTGGGGCCAATAAAAAGAAAACCAGTATCATATCTGATTGCTTCTTTGTCCATATTCTAAAAGTATATTAGTCCTGTTGCTCACAGACAAGTGCCAAAGATACACAATGAAGAAGTTGCTACTACAGAGGAGTAGTTTTTATTCTGTGTACAGGACAAAAGGAGCTCTGGAAGGAGTCGCACTGCTAGCCCAAAGGCTTCAATGTTCTGCTGGTTCTTATCTACCAGCAGCTCTGTGTGAGAAAAAACGAGCCATCTCCTCCCATCTGGTATACAGCCTTGGAATTACAAAGTAGGATCAACTATGATTCAGTTCCAAATTGACAGCAATGAGTGAGTGAGTGAACACTAATCACCTGAGCATTACTTAATGTGTTTATTTGCCATCTAAATGATTTTTTTAGTGAGGTGTCTTTGCATGTTCTCTGGTCATTTCATAACTAGGTCACCTTTTTCTTGTTGAGGTGTTAAAAGTTTTCTGTAAATTTCAGAGATTAGCACCTTGTTAGACATCATTGTCAAATTATTTTTTTCTAGTTGTAGGCTCTCCACTCTTTTAAAGATAACTTTTGATGTACTGAAGGATTTAATTTTCAGGAGGTATCAACTGTCTCTAATAGTTTCTCCAGTGCTGACTAAAGAGCCAGGCACTTTTAAAACGAAAAAGAAAAAAAAAGTATCTTTCCTAGGGAATTAAAGAATAGAAACTTTCTTTTTGTTTGACTTTCTCTAAGTGGAGAGTCTTGTTCCTCAGCCTCTTATTGTCAGCTATACTGTGTATACATGATCCACAATGTGTGTATTGTGTCTGAGAGGGTGGTGAGAGGCCCAGAGAGCACGCATGTCATTTCAGAGAACGGAGGACTTCGCTTAAATGATGAGCTACAGAGCCAGGCACAGGGCAGCAAGAAGTTATTGGCTGGTGAATGATGCATTAAAATATGGGAAGAATGCCAAGAAAGCAATTTGTTTCTAAATTCTGCCCAGGTCTAGGTACTTATTACTACCATCAAGCTACTTAGCTTCTAGGTCCCCAAACCCAGTACCATTATAACAGGTTTTTTAATAGGTTAACTTGGAAATTTGGCCACTGTTTATAAACTACAATCTCCTTTTATAAAACATCCAACAGTCTTCTTTCTTCAGCATATATTTTCTAGTTATACTAGGTTCATGAGTCTCTCTCAAGCCCCCAGAAAGATTCACTTAAATGTCACTTCTTGTCCAAAAAAATCTTTAAAATTCCAGCTGGAACAAACGAATCATTTGCTTTATCCTTATTATAATCGTGTATCTGTTGAGCTATGTACAAGGTCACAACTATGCTTATTAGGTTCTAAAGGAGCCCTGGTAGTATAATGGTCAGAATACCCAATTGCTAACCAAAGGTCAGTGGTTGGAACCCAGCAGTGGTTGTTCTGTGATAAAGGCAATCTGCTTCCATAAAGAATGACAGAGCTGGAAACTCTACAGGCAGTTCAACTGTCACTATGAGTTGGATCAACTCAAAGGCAGTGTGATTCTTTGGTGCCAGATTCTAAATATCTGTCTTAAAAATATTTACCTTCCTAATTCAAAAGCAACGATTTCATAAATTACTACATAATGTGGGAGGGACTGAAGAATATTACGCTGAGTGAACTCAGGCTCCCAAGTACAAATACTGTATAAGACCATTATTGAATAAAAAAATAACTAGTAAAAAAAAATTTAGCTTAATAATGCTATCCTCCATAATTCTTGGTATGTAGCATTTATTATATGTGGGCTGAATATCACTTAAATTACAAAGAAAATATTAAATCTCATGAGTGAAAAGCAATTCTTGTATCAAACCCTTGAATAATTTGCCAGTAAACTGTAGAATTTTATGAACTTTTATCTTAGAGATTTAGATAAGCCTATGTAAAATGTAGTTGTAAAGAAATCAGTATTTTAAGTTTTACAGCTTATAATCCAAAGGGGAGGTGATGACAGGGTTAATTTAGCTTTTAGGTTAAATTAGAATTAGCCCTGCTGTTTTAAGTAGTGACATAATCATTAAAATTCATATATCACTGAAATGTGGGGTCCCTATTTCCTCTGAACATGTAATATGATTACATTTTCTTTAATACTAATTTTGCTTCCTCCTTGGAAGGAAACCTGCTTATCTGTAAATTACATTTCAAATCTAATTACCATTCTATTTGCAGTTGGTTTAGTAAAGAAATAATTCATGCCAAATTTAATCTCCATCTTTGGAGCCTTCTGTAATTTCAGTTAAGAAATTGTTTCCATGTTTCATAAAACTTGAAACAAACAAAAATCACACATATTTTGAAAAAACACTCTCCCAAAAGCCTTAATAGCCTAAGAAAGGAGCAGGACAAAAATATTCAGGTCAATCAAATGGAACATTTATAGACCTAGCTTCAGAACTGGGAAAAAAAACGTAATAAAATCTGTACCCAACACTGACAATGTCCTACTTCACCTGACTGCTATTCATTCTTTAAAACGCAGTTCATCTCAGGAAGTTTATCTTTATATAAAGAAGGTGACACTTGCCCTAGATTTCCATAGGAACTGTTGAATTGAGAATACTGTATTATAATTATCATTATTGTTGTTATTGCAAAACTTCCTTCCTGCTTTCCGTTTTTGCCCTTTTACTCCTTCAGTATATTTTCAGTTTTAGTAACCCCAAAGTCCTTGGGTCTGATCATGTTATCACTCTGGTCAAAATCTGTCTGGCTTGTCGCTTCATATGGAGAAAACCCCCATGATACAGCCTTTCTAATGCTTTATGTATCTTCTACACCCCACAGACCTCTTGCCATTTATTAGCCTCATCTATCATTTTCCCATTTTGTTCTTGTCATACACTGGTCTCCTTCCTCCTCATCACATTTACCACGTACTCTGTTACACCACTGTTCCTATTTCCTGTTAACACTTTCTCCTCATATTCACATTTGTTGGGTCTCTAGTCCAATGTCACCTGATTAGCAATAGTTGATCCCATCACCACTCTCAAGTACTATTTCTTTTCCTCAGTTTCATTTCCTTACATTGCACTTTAAACTATCTGACATACTATGTTTATGTGCTGTTAGTGTCTCTTCATCAAGTGTAAGATCTTATGAGGGCAAGGACTTTCTGCTCTCTGTAGTATCCTACTTTCCTTATGGGGTCAGAACTTATATCAGTAAGTATTTGTCGAATGACTAAATCATCTATTTAAGGACCTTTCACCTCAGAAAGATTATGGATGCTTGGATTCTTCATGATGCCTAATCTTTTGAACATATTATGTACTGAATGAATGTTCTGTAATTATAAAGATAAACTGGCACAGAAATGACAAAAAATGAAAAACAGGTAAAAATGAATAACCAAAGAATAACCTATTGGCACATACCTGTTTGAATTCAGAATCCTTTCCCACAATAACTTGAAGACTGTAAATAACTGGATCACCTTTCATTGGCTGTAAATATTCCCATGTAATTTCACAAACATGATCATTTATTTTCTCTATTTTGGGTGCTGCAAATATAATTATATAATATATAAAGAGAATGTAATTAAAATATGCTCTATTTTAATAAAAGCCAATAAACTTTAAAATACCATTATAAATGTAAAATAAATGTGTTTGAACTTTGGGAATTTGCATAAAAACTGTCACTGACTCACTTTTGTCTCCAAACCACACAATGTACATTACTCTAATAGCCTGATTGGCTAAGAATTGCATCATTTTCATTAAATTACAGTCAATGGAGGATGCAGCGGTAAGAACAACACAAGGCATTATAAGGTCATGTTGCTGTTATGTACCAATTGAGTTGCAAGCAACGGACTCATAGCTGACCCTCCTGGGTGGTGGTTGGTTTTTGTTTTTTTTTAAATTTTTTTTGGTGTGTATCGTCAAATTGGATCTGACTGGTACAGGAGGAGACTGTCTCTCCTTTTCCAGCAGAGCATCTGGTGGACTCGAACTGCGTACCTCTGGGATTGCAGTGCAGCCTCCTGGGTTTTAAGAGGCAAGAGGTTGCCCATCTTTCTCCCATGGAGCAACTGGTGGATTAGAACTGTGTGCCTTTGGGTTGGCAGTGTAACAACTCCTTACCCCTAGGCTACCAGAGTTCCCTTAAAGGGTCATACTGTGACTTTTACTCCATATAAAATTATCAGCTAGAGGAGAATTTAGATCAGAGTTGTGTGTCATCGAGTCACCTGAGACTCACAGTGACCCTATATACAACAGCTCTGATCTCTGCCCTATTCTGAGTCTCACTCTTATGAAAACAATTTATTTATTTATTTTTTTAATTTGGATCATTTATTTGGTGGATGGTAACAAGAAACAAGTGGATGGCTTTAAGAAGTATGAGACAGAGAATATATGAAACAACGACACCAAAGAAAAAAATTTTTATAGTGTTCTGAAGAACATAGTAACTACAACATAAACTAATGTAAGAAATCTCTTAATAAGATGAGTTGAAAATACACCTAGTTGCTGGACTGTACACAAATGCTTCACTCAACAGTTGCGTACAAAGGGGGTCAAAGGAATGGGGGGGGGAAATTCTGATGTGAAGGAAAAATGAGGGAAAGACTTAGTGAAGTTTATCAACATATCTGAAACAACAGCCTCCTGCAAACAAAACCCATGGATCCTTTACTCTAATGATATATCCAAGCACATGATCTAGAATACTACAAGTCTTTGTGATTTATCTTTATATTGTATGCAAGGTTAGTTTCTGGCTAAAATAAAAGTGTAATTAATCTCTGCTCACAGGGTCATTTGAAAACATAAAACTCTGGAATTAACCTTAAAGACATATGTATTACATATATGTGTGTGTATATGCACATGTGTGCATTAATTTGATTTAGTTATAAATCAAAACTAAGAATTTACTTAATAAAACAGTAACAACTATTTAAACAATCAGGTTGTAAATTCTTCTCCTTTAAATTACAATAGCTGAAACAGCAAATGGACACTATTAAAAAGCCAGCCTTCTATTCAGTTTCATTTGAGATTAAAGAGAAAAAACCCAGCAGCCATACCACTGGTTGCTCTAACAGGGATCACAGGACGATGATCCTGGATAGAGGAGGGGGAAAAAGCGGGGCAAATGGAAAAACATAAAAAAGACCAGGCTTACTGGTCCGATAGAGACGGGTTGAACCCTCGGACTGTGGCTCTTAGGCACCATTTGAATCTGGGACAAACCCCTCATCTCCATGGCTCAAAGGTTCAGCTAAATACGAGGTAGGCTTAGAAGGTGAATAGTAACACCTTACCAGAGGCATTCAGGCCTTGAAATAGCCAACCATGAAAGGTTAACAGAGCAGCTTCTGCCCAAGAGTGAAGGTCAAAAGACACGAAGGGATAGAAGGATTAATGGATATGAGAAACACAGAGAGAAAGCGGGAAAATATGCCTATATTGTGCAATTAAATAGTGTAACTAATGTTAAAACAAAATATGTTTGAACAGAAAACCAATTTGCTTTGTAAACTTTCACTCAAGGTACACAAAAAAGAATAATTGAAAACTCAAGATAAAAAACCCAACAGCTGTCTAAGTCTTAATGTCTCAGATAAAAGAGCTTATATTTATTCTGTGAAACTCTCAATAGGTGAGTTTGCCTATGTAATTTTTTTTAAATTTTAATGAATATTTACAGATATTTTGGATTTACATTCATTCACTGTCTCTGAAAAGAAAAAAAGAGAAATTCCTAAATTGGTATACAATCCCCCCATCCCACTCCAAACCCCCCTCCCCACTCTGTCTATGTAATTTTTTTAAAAATATTTTAATTTATTAATTTTTCGTTTCAATGAACATCTACAGAGATGTCTATGTAATTTTTAAAGAGAATTGCTGCATACATACTGGATACAGAGCCAATAATAATAAACTCAATGACTGATAAAAAGCATTTAAAATTAACTAATAAAAAGAGTAACTTGAGGATATATTCAATTACCTTTCAAGGCAGCTGGGACAGATTTTGGAGTAGTAAAAATATATTCTTGGGAGAGGGGACCTACCCCAGCTTCATTACAAGCTTGAATACAGAATTTATAGGATGTTGACTCATTGAGTCTTTGTACTTTGTATGTATGACATGGTCCTCTGTACAAGGATATAAACCTAAAATGGAAATAAATCTTTATTAAATAATTAGACCACCTTATGGACAATATTTCTACAACTACTAAAGATGTATAGTTGGCAGACAATGAAACAGAAAATTCTTCAATTTCATTTGCCTTCTTGAAAATTTGCTGCTCAATTTCATGATCAACCATGGAACGGCTCCTTCCTAGGCTTCTGGCAGTTTTGTTTCATTTATGTGGTTTCCATGTGCCATGTATGTGTGTATAGGTATTCAGACCTCACACTTACTATGAAGAATTTCTAGTTTAAGTTATATCCATATAATGTGAGAATCACAAGATGAACCTGAGCTATATGACTGTTTTCATTGCCTTTATTGGAAAGAAATTCTGAATTTCCAGTCATGACTGCAACTGACTTAATGTTTTCAAGAGATTTATATGGCACTATAACAGAATTTCCAGTAAATGATTAAATTTTAACTATTTGACTGAAGTAGTAGATATTTCTTCTAATAGGTCATCCATAATTTGACTGTTTCCTAGTACTTCTGATTGGCTTTTTTGGGGTCAAAATTAGGGAATGAAAAAATTAATGCCTCAGAGCTCAAACAGACGAAAAATTGTAGGTAAGTTTAAAAAAATGAAGAAATATTTAATGACCAGAAGTAACATTATTTCCAAGGAGTAGTAACTGTGTAAATTTTGTATTTTTAATCCCTGAAAGATATATATCTCTACACACACATCTTTAATGATAGGTTTAATTAAAGATATCTCTATATCGTTAATGATAAGAAAACACAGTATTAAAACACTACTAGAAAAAGGTGGATGATGACAAATCCTGTGGTCTGGAAAAGATTAAGTTGTATTCAGATAGCTGTGAATGAAATCAAAAGAGAAGAAAGTAATCAAAGATATTAGATTTCTTTAAAGCCAAGGTCCACAAGCCATTCTAACAAACAATTCTCCAGTAGCTCAATATTAAGTTTGGAGTCCTAAAATAGAAAATAGAATTCAAAAGAAATCTCTATGTCATAGTATCTTCATTTGTTTTCCAAGGAAATACAAATTAGACTTGTTTCCAGTAAACCTTCTCAGCTGTGAAGAGGCTGAGAAGTAGTTAAAGCATTAAAATAGCAATAGTGGCACAATTCTGAAATAAATCAGTGGTTACACCAAAAGCTGCAGCAGGCAGAAAACCTGCTTTTAGATTCACTAGGAACACATAAAATTCTGCCAAGAATAAATCCTACCATTCATAGCAGTATAGATTCCAGGACATAAATTAATACAATTTATTTTGAGGTAAATTCTTACTGGTCATCCAGTGTATCATATTTGAAATCTGTAAATACATCTGTTGCTCTTGTTATGTGCCGTCGAGCTGCCTGCGACTCATAGTGATCCTATGCACAACAGCCCTAAACCCTGCTCTGTCCTGTGTCAATCTCACAGTCTCAGACACACCTACCCCCATTACTCCAGTCACTGAATCAATCCATTTCACAGAGGGTCTTCCTCTCCTATGCTGTCCCTCAACCCTCCCAAGTATGACAACCGTCTCCAAGGATTGGTCCCTCCTTGCAACATGTCCAAAATATGTCAGACGAAGCTTCAGAATCCTTGCCTCCAAGGAGCAGCCTGGTTTAATCTCTCTAGGGTGAACCTGTTTGCTTTCTTAGCAGCCCACGGTATCTTCAGTATTCTTCTCCAGCACCACAACTCAAAGGCATTAATTCTCCTCCTATCGTCCCTAGTCATTGTTCAGCTCTCTGATGCACAGCAAGTGATTGCAAAAACCATGGCCTGTATCAGGGGCACCTTAGTCTCCAGAGTGACAGCACTGCTCTTCAGTGCTTTGGAGAGGTCCCTAATAGCAGACTTTCCCATCGCAATACGTCTTTTGATTTCGTGGCTCTGCTGGGGCCAAGAGTGTTGACTATAGAGCCAAGCAAACTAAAGCTGTAAAGAATCTCAATCTCTTTGCTATCCATCTTGATGCTGCCAATTGGCCCAATACACTGCCATTAATATTCTATTTTAGACTATTTGGCTAGATGCAAACCTGCAACAAAAAAGTAAACTTTGGGATAAACTATTATCAGTATTCTGAATCCATTAGATATGCAAACTGTTTATAATAAATTGAAGTAGGAAAGTAACAGTTGAGGAGGGTATATAGCATTATTTTTATGGAGTAGACTATGATTAAAGAATCTTACATTGACATTTGAATATGAATATTACAGATATTTCGGGTAGCATATGGACATAGCATGGTTTTAGGAAATAGTACATGTATATGCAAATGTAAAATGTGGTAGCATCGAGTTTCCTTTCACAGAATATGAATGACAGAGGGAGCAGCAAGGGGTCTGAGCAGGCATCAGAAGATAGCTGAGTCTGACCTTGAGCACTTGGACTGCATCTGTTGGTGTGCAGGTTCTGTGGCTGGGGTAAAGACAAGACTGAGATGACATCCCTGCCTGCGATCAGAGAGCCTTTCAGCTAGTTTCAGCTAGTCAATCACTAACCAGTAACTTGCCTTTCACAGGATACAGAAAGGTTACTTTATAGTCAAAATTATTGGCATAAAGAGTGAATGGGTTAGAGAAGAGAGCCAAATCAGAAGCACCTACTTGTTTTTTCTCTTGGCATCGTACTTGTAAGTTATACTAGGAAGTTTACATGATGGCTTCCGATCTGTGAACTGCTTACCTATTTCTTAGAACTTAAAATATTTTTTAAAATGCTTTTTATTTATATCCACAACTTTAAAACATTTATACCCCAGAGACCCAAGAAACTATATAAAGAAGGAATTTTAAGAATCCTACCTTCCGTTCTTATCCTCCATCTGAAGGTGGTACTGAACAGAATCTGTAGACAAGGTCTTTGGGGTTCCTTCTCCCCACTTCAGTTTAAGGTTCTGGTGACTAAAGGCAACACATTCCAGACGCGGTGGATCGGGAGGGAGGGGCTTGGTTTTTAATTTTATCATGTGGCTGAAAGGGCCAGCTCCAAGGCTATTCAAGGCTTGAATTCGTATTCTAAGTATCACATTAAAATAAAAAGGAGAAAAGTTTGGTTTATGATTATATATAAAAATGTATTTCTGCTCTAGGCAAAATTTAATGTGTAGGTTTCAGAGTGTACCTGTAGGTGGTATCTGGCTGCAAATTGTTTATAATATAGCTTGTAACCTTCCCCACTGTCAAAGGCTGTTTATCTCCAAAGTCTATGCTATAGGCAAGGATTTCTGAACCATGGTCACAAGGCTTCTCCCAGCTTATTGCAAGGCATGTAGAAGGTGAGTAGTGGGAATTTTCTATATCATCATCATCATCATCATCATCATCATCACTTATTCCTTGAAGACAAGTCACAATGGCAGGAACTGACGGTGGAGTTGCACAAGCTACGACCTCACTGAAAGGGCCTGCACCGACAACACTCAGAGCCTACAAATTAGCAGAGACACAGCCATGAAAATATGAGTGAAACGCAGCCCTGTTGGTGGAATGCCTGACAAAGCACTCATCACTAACCTGGACCCTGCAGTAATAGGTGGTTGCTGGTGACAGTCCTTTTAATTCATAACTGAGGCCTGGTCCACAGTAACATATTTGCATAGTTCCTTCAACTCCTCCCCACTCCAGTCGATATTCAGTGACATCAGTTCCATTACTCAATGGGACCTTTAAATTAAAAAGACAAAAGTATTAAGTCTTGATAATGGTTACTACTGGCTGTTAGGCAAAATTGTTCCTTATCTGAGCACATCCAAAACTGGACCATTCAATTCCTTTAAAACATTTAAGCATAATAAAACTATTTAATTTTAGTTTGAATCATTTGAATTTAAGACAAGTAAAAAAGTGTAATTCTGTTTCAAATCAAAAGTAGGAATATGACTAACAATCACTTTAGAAAAAGTATTTTAAGTTAAAGATACTTAAAATGATTTTATTAAGCAGTATAAAATGATAAACTATGCAAGGGTACTCTTTATTAATCTCAAAAGGAACGGAAGATATTATTGCTGATTATTACCATACAAAATATGCCAGAGCACAAACATCATCTTATGAATGTTTCCTCTGAACATTAAAGGCATCAGTGGTTGAAAGTTTCAATGCTGAGAGAAAGCTTTGATGAAACACAAAGCACACCATTACTAAGTTTAACTACCTGAAATACAAATATACTTCACACAAATGTTTAAAAGAGGAAAACAGAACTCACTCTTTACCATGTGAAATGAATTAGGATTTACTCTCTGGATATTCTGGGAGCAAACAATGAGTCTTTTTTATTCTTTTTTTTATGAAATAGTCTTAACTGCTTTAAAAAAGTACATTATGTATCAATGAAAACAACAGTACCTCCCAATTCACTTGTGCACATGTAGCAGATCTGCATGTCACTTGAGGGGGCTTACACTGATCTGGAGGACCAGGGGCTGTGGTGATATCACATTTTTCTGAAAATGGTCCAAACTAGAAGAAAAGTATACATAACTAGGGTTTAAACACTTATCCTTAAATACCCACTGACTACAGAGCATTCAATATTTAAATATTTCCTATTAATTAACTACATCATCCCTGTGCTTAAAGACTCATTCATTAGTCATGATAAAATTCTATAAGCATTTATTTAATGTAAGACGACCAGCTGATCATATAAAAGTGTGGGGAATTGTGAGTGTCTTATCCACTGTACTTTCTTCTCCTGCCCCTTATTCCTTCATAAACTTGTTTTTATTAGGGCAGGGCACTGAAGATGAGGGATGAGGTGGATGAAGTAAGTCAGAGGAAATACGTGGACTCCAAAAAGGCATAGAGAATAACATGTACAAATGTTACCTTAAATTCTGGAATAGCTTTTGTTGTTGCTAGGTGTCTTTGGGACAACCCTCTTTTACAGCAACCCTATGGACAAGAGATCAAACCCTTGTCCTATCCTGAGCTAGCCTTGCAATTTCTGTTCATGCCACTGCTGTAGTCACTTTGTCAATCCATCTCTACTTTTCCAAGCAGAATAGCTTCTCTTATTAAGTGCTGTGGATTCAAATGCTTCATGATGACCCTAAGAACAACGTATCTGAACTCTGCCTAATCCTGTGCCATTCTCACCAACTGTCACACCTGGGCCCACTGCGTCAATTCACCTGGTTAAGGCTTTTCCTCTCTAATGCAGGTCCCTCCACTTTTCCAACATGATATCTCTCTGCAATAGCCTCTCCTAGCTACATGCCCAAAGTATGTGGGATGAAGCTTTATCAACTTTGTCTCCAAACAATACTCTGGCTATACCCTCTCCAAGACGTATCTTTTGTTTTGTTGGCAGTCCATGTGATACTCAATATTCTTCTCCAGCACCAAAACTCAAAGGCATCGATTCTTCTTCCGTCATCCTTGGTCACTGTCCTGCACTCAGCATAGCTGAGACTGAAAAGACCATGGCCTCAATCAGGCACATCTTAGTCCTCAAACTAAAAGATGGAACTACAGGTCTCTTCCCATCACAATCAAGAAGAGTGAAGGCTAGACTATCAAAAACACAAGGAAATAATCAGACCGAGGGCCAATGTGAACCCTAGCCTCCAGAACTGTGAGCCCAGTACCTGACTACCACTCCTAACTGCACTAATAGGGATCACCAGAGGAGGTCCTTCATAGAGTGGGGGTCTCCAGTTTGGAGCCTCCTGAGAAAAATACGAACTCAAATACCACATTTACTGATTTGATAAAAGACCAGTGCGGTCCCAGAGATGATGGCCCTTATGATGATGAAGGAAGAAGTTCAAGCTGCATTGAAGGAATTGGCAAAAAATAAGGCCCCAGGAATAGATGGTATACCTAATTCAGCTAACAGATGCTGCCCTGGATGTGCTCACCAAGTTGTGGCAAGAAATGTGGAGAACAACCACTTGGCAAGTGACTGGAAGAAATCTATATTTTTTCCCATTCCAAAGAAAGGCGATCCAACAGAGTGTGGAAATTATCGAACAATATCATTAATATCACATGCAAGCAAGATTCTGCTGAAGATTATCCAAAAACAACTGAACAGCACATCAAGAGAAAACTGCCAGAAGTGCAGGCTGGTACTAGGGATATTGTAGCTAATGTTAGATGGATCTTGGCTGAAAGCAGAGAGTACCAGAGGAATGTCTGTGTTTCACTGATTATGCAAAGGCATTTGACTGTGTAGATCCTAACAAACTGTGGCTAACTCTATGAGGAATGGGAATCCAGAACACTTGATCGTGCTAATGTGAAACCTATACCTGGACCAGGAGGCAGTCATCAGAACAGAGCAGGGAAACACTGTGTTGTTCAAAATTGGAAAGGGTATATGCCAAGGATGCATCTTATCACCATACCTTTCCAACCTATATGCAGAACAGATTATACGGGAGGCTGTATGAGGAGAAATGTGGCAACAGGGTTGGAGGAAGGTTCATCAACAATCTGCGTTATGCAGACAACACAACTCTGCTTGGTGAAACTGAAGAGGACCTGAAGCACTTGTTGAAGAAGGTCAAGGACTACAGCCTTCAATATGGATTGAAGTGCAACATCAAGAAAACAAAGATTCTTACCACCGGTCCAATTGGCAGCATCTGGATGGATGGTGAAGAGATTGAGACTATTCACAGCTTTAGTTTGCTCGGCTCCATAGTCAATACTCTTGGCACCAGCTCAGCCAGGAAATTTAAAGACGTATTGTGATGGGAAAGTCTGCTGTTAGGGACCTCTCCAAAGTACTGAAGAGCAATAGTGTCACTTTGGAGACTAAGGTGCGCATGATACAGGCCATGGTTTTTGCAATCACTTGCTATGCATCAGAGAGCTGGACAATGACTAGGGAGGATAAAAGGAGAATTGATGCCTTTGCGCTGTGATGCTGGAGAGGAGTACTGAATATACCATGGACTGCTAGGAAAACGAATAGGTTCATGTTGGAGAGGGTAAAACTAGGTTGCTCCTTGGAGGCAAGGATTCTGAGGCTTCGTCTGACAGACTTTGGACATGTTGCAAGGAGGAACCAGTCCTTGGAGAGGGAGGTCAGGCTTGGGAAGGTGGAGGAACAGCGCAGGAGAGAAAGACTCCCAATGACATGGATTGATTCAGTGACTGGAGTAATGGGGGTTGGTGTGTTGGAGGTAATGGGAATGGCACAGGACAGAGCAGGGTTTAGGGCTGTTGTACATGGGGTCACTATGAGTAGCAGGCAACTCGAAGGCACATAACAAAACCAGCAACAACAACAGATACCCTTCAAACCCCAAAACAGAAATTACCCCCACAGCTCAACTTTCAGCCAAATGACACTATGATGTCTATAAGGTAAACACTGACGCTAATAAGGCAAGCAGTCCTTAGAATAGTCAACCATACAAAATCAAAAGGCAGCATTTGCCTAGGGATAAAAGTGAAAAAAGAACTACGGAAGAAGTAGAATAGAACAATAAACACAGGGAGCAAGTGCTGTTACACTGTGGGAATTGTAATTAATGTTGTGAAACAAATGTCTGAACTGTTGAGTAAAAAACCAATTTACTCTGTAAACCTGAACTCAAATAATGTGCCAACTATAAATGTTAAAACAAAATACCAAGTGTGACTCTACTTCAGTCACCATGGCCTTCCTACCCCCATTTTGTTAGCTGCCCGCAGTCTGAAGCTGTAGGTCTTTCCAGGCAGAAGGTTGCTCACTGTACATTCTACTTCAGACCCTTGGTAAACTTCTCGGGGTTCATCTTTTTCTACAGGAGACATTTCCACACCATAACAAGAAATAGATGATCCACCATCAACTTGAGGGGGTCCTAAAGGCAGAAAGATTTATTCAGGTTAACAAGAGAAAATGCTAAGTAGTAACTTAATTATGATTTATTACTAAAATGGAAATTACCCCATCGTAACTGTATTTCTTTTGCTTTGGGTCTTCCCTGTAATCTGGGAGGGAGGCATGGGCCAGGAGGCATAGCTGGAGTCTGCACAAGTAAAGATTCAGATACCTGCCAAAACAAAAGCAAAAACCCCAAAAATGCCCAAATTAAACCATCAGATTCCTTCTGTTAAAGAAAAAGCCCTAGAACACAAAAATTGTATTAGTAATTTGAAAAATGTACTTGAACAAGTGAAAAGGAAATGTTCTCAATAAAATAAAAATCTAATTAAGTGATTAAACTCAAATTTTAGAAGACAAAGACACAGGATATTAGCATTATTTATAAAGAAACAAGAAAAAACCCATTAAAGCTTTTTCTAGTAAACTAGTAAAGCTTTTCATTTTTCCCTCTTCTTTACAGAATAAAGAATCAAGCAAATAAAAGAAAACCTCAATCTCCAACACAATGTCGGGGGCGTTATTTCTGATCCTTTCAAAACAGATGCACAAATTTCTTCTTACATGTAGGTAGAGTATTTTGAACATTCTATAAATATATTGTTTTTGAGGAGTTTTGGTCTTTTTGGGATGCTTTACTGTATATTTTGAAGGTAACTATTAACTTATTTAATAAATTATTACAATAATAAATATCTCAATTTTCACGTAAAAATAATCCCCAAACAGAACAGCCTTTCAGACATTTTGTAGATTTTCAGGGATATGCTATTGCTATTGGTGTCTATGCCCTTTTTTTTTTTTTTAAAAAGTTTCAAATAGTTTTATTTTATTGGAGACTTCCGGTGGTCTAGTGGTAAGGAGCTGCACTGTCAACCTAAAGGCAGCAGTCCAAATGTGACTTGATTGCACATAACAACAGTTTTATTTTAAGGACACATTCTTAAAAACATTTATTCTAGAAAGTCAGTGCCATATTTCTTACTTAATACTGTCTTAATGTTTGAGTATTCCCTTCAAACCAAAGCAAAATTTTGGTCATGACTTTATTCAGAAGATTATCTATATGAGCATGCTAAAGCATGGTATTCATGCATTTATTGCCATCAAATGGTTCCAACTCATAGCTGAAACTGCAATAGGCTATTTGATGCTGTAACTCACGTCAGCGAGGAGAGAGTCCATTTCTCCTCCCTGGAGCAGGTGGTGGACCTGAATCAACAAAGTGTGTTCTTTAGGTTAATAGCACAACTTACTATGCACTATGCTGCCAGAGTTCCTTAGAATGAGATTTTGTACGTGTATGCCTCTTTTTAAGGAGGGGGGGATATCTGGAGAGATTTTTCTTATTGGACACATGAAGTAACTAGATTACAATTTTAGAGTAAGATTCGTGCTCATTTCACTACACTCATATATTCAACAAAAGAATTTTATAATTTAATTTTTAAAAAGTACTTCCATTACATTAAATTCCATTTGGGGAAAAAAAAGGCAATTAAAAAGTGTTTCATATAGAATCAAAGGCATACTTCAAACCTATTTCAGTTTTTGTGTCCCTAGTAATAAAACAATATAGAACAATATCATTGATTTCACATGCAAGCAAGATTCTACTGAAGATCATCCAAAAACAACTGGAACAGCACATCAGCAGAGAACTGCCGGAAGTTAAGGCTGGGTTTAGAATGGGTCATGATACTAGGGATATTGTAGCTAATGTTAGATGGATCTTAGCTGAAAGCAGGGAATACCAAAAGAACGTCTATCTGTGTTTCATTGATTATGCAAAGGTGTTTGACTGTGTGGATCATAACAAACTGTAGCTGACTCTGAGAAGAATGGGAATCCCAGAACACTTGATCGTGCTAATGTGAAACCTATACCTGGACCAAGAGGCAGTCGTCAGAACAGAGCAAGGAAACACTGCATGGTTCAAAATTGGAAAGGGTATACGCCAAGGATGCAGCCTGTCTCCTTTCCTTTTCAATCTTTATGCTGAACAGATTATTTGGGAGGCTGGGGTTTATGTGGAGGAATGTGGAGTCAGGATTGGTGGAAGATCTATCAACAATCTGTGTTATGCAGATGACACAACCCTGCTTGCTGAAACTGAAGAGGGCCTGAAGCGCTTGCTGCAGAGGGTCAAGGACTGCAGCCTCCAATATGGATTGAGGTTCAATGTCAAGAAGACAAAGATTCTCACCACTGGACCAATTGGCAGCATCAGGATGGATGGTAAAGAGATTGAGATTGTTCACAGCTTTAGTTTGCTTGGCTTCACAGTCAACACTCTTGGCCCCAGCACAGCCATGAAATCAAAAGACGTATTGAGATGGGAAAGTCTGCTGTTAGGGACCTCTCCAAAGTACTGAAGAGCAATGGTGTCTCTCTGGAGACTAAGGTAGTCTGACACAGGCCTTGGTCACTTGTTATGCATCAGAGAGTTGGACAATGACTAGGGAGGATAGGAGGAGAATTGATGCCTTTGAGCTGTGGTGCTGGAGAAGAGTATTGAGGGTACCATGGACTGCTAAGAAAACAAATTCATCTTGAAGAGGGTGAAACCGGCTGCTCCTCGGAGGCAAGGATTCTGAGATTTCGTCTGACATACTTTGGACATGTTATAAGGAGTGACCGGTCCTTGGAGAGGGACATCATGCTTGGGAGGGTGGAGGGGCGCGTAGGAGGGGAAGACCCTCTATGAGGTGGATTGATTCAGTGACTGGGGTAATCGGGATGAGTGTGTCAGAGACAGTGCGACTGGCACAGGACAGAGCAGGGTTTAGGGCTGTTGTACATAGGGTTGCTATGAGTTGCAAATGACTCGACGACACATAACAACAACAACAACAACAATAACAACAAAATATTAAAACAGGGAACTACTGGGTAAAGGGTTGTGCTGCCAATCCAAAGGTACATGGTTTCAATCTACTAGCTGCCCTGTGAAGAGAAAAATGGGCAGTCTCCTTCTGCTGAAATTAGAGCCTCTGCAAACCCACTGGAGGGTCAGCTATGAGTTGGTCATTAAAAACAGTAATAATAATGTAACTGAGTTCTTGTAACAATGTGCTAACTAAAGGGTCAGTGATTTGAATTCACCAGCTGCTCCTCGGGAGGAAAATGGGCAGTCTCCTCTTGAAATGATTTACAGGAGAAGACCTGATGGAGGGTCACTATGAGGCCAAATCAACTTTATGGCACTAGGTTAATAGAAAAATAGGAATTGTAGTGGCATAATGGTTAAGCATTGCTGCTAACAGAAAGGTTCCAATCCACCCAGGGGCCTCTCAAGAACAAAGCCAGGGTGACTGTTACATTTGATTGCTATGAATCACAACAGTCTCAATAGCACCTATCAATACCAGCACCAACATACTAATGGTCAGCCTTCTGCAAGAAATAAAAACGAGAATTTGGGTTTAAACATTAAATGGCAATTTCTGGTTTGTTCTGAAACTTCGATGATTATGAAATAGTAAAATTAGTATACAATTACTAGATATGGTTAATTGAACGTCATGTTTAAATTTATATATTTTTTCCTCTAATGTTTTGCTTTTCCAAAGTTACGTAATACCTGGACAAGAGATTTTCCTTAAATAAGCTAGTACCATATTAGATTATTATGGTCACTATAAAATTAGCCACACAAGTTACAGAAACTACTTTTATAAGCATTTGTAGCTACGAGTGGGGTGAGAGAGCAACTGGTGATTCCAGTCTATATATAATCCAATTTAAGAAGACAAACAAACAAACCAACACAATCTTTATATAGGCATTACCGCACTCTGTCCTCCATCACTGATGCAGTAAACTCGTAAACGATAAAAACAGCCTGGATTCAGTCGATCACAAAGATGCTCCCTCGTAGCACCACTGTATATCATATCCCATTTGTTTCCTGGAAGGTAAAGAATTATGTGCAATCAGCTACGAGGTAATGGTTAACATTCTGGTATCAAGGAAACAGCAGGTATCCTAGCTTCACTAAGTAAGTGCTTGAGTAATTTGTCAGAAACAATCTAAATTTATTTTGAGTTTCCTGGAAATGATCTAATTTCTTTTTGAGACTAGCTTTCAATGCAAATTTGTATGGCTTTGCGGAAGTAAAACAGCTCTATAACTCTGGAGTGGCTTTGGCTTAGATCGATAATTTGCTTTTAATTAAGCATTTTAAATGTGTTTATGGTCCAGTAATAACATTATAACACACACAGAGTAGAAAGAACAAATATCAGAGGAAATTTAGTCTTAATTAAAAGGCATTCTTATTTATTTTACAGGAAATAGATAATTTTATCGAAATAAAGACTGTCAAATGAGTCAAGAGTAAGGTTCATTAGGCATAGGATTTATGTTTAACCTGTGCTGCGACAGTCAAACTACAGCAGCCATGGCCGTGCACTACCTCACGCTTCAACAAGGACCACAGAGTCACCAAGAACGTGAGCAAGCTGAGGCCCAGCAGCTGCTGTGGGCGCCTCACCAAGCACACCAAGGTTGTGCGGGAAGTGATCCGCGAGGTGTGTGGCTGCACGACTTACAAGCACTGTACTATGGAGCTGTTCAGGACCTGCAAGGATAAGCGGGCCCTCAAGTTCATCAAGAAAAGGGTGGGGACACACATCTGTGCCAAGGAAGTGAGAAGAACTCAGCAATGTCCTGGCTGCCATAAGAAGGAGGACTGAGTGTGCCCTACTATCTCCTAACCCTCACTCATCTGATGTTATGAACTATAATAACTAAGAAAAGGCAATATAATCGGAGTTAAATTTTAGAAGCTAATGTGTCTTACATAGAGTATAAATCTGATAATATGAAAATGTAAAGCTAATAAAGTAAAACTTTTAACGGAAACTTGGTATTTGATTCAACATATTTCTGAAACTGAGTCATAACAGGCAAAACCCTAATGGCTACAAGGGAAGCCCAAAGTAAAACAAACATTTTTATGGTGGAAAATAAAGAGCAAGAGGAAAGAAAAGAGAGAAACTGTACAGACATTAAGAGCAGGAAGAGTTAGGTATAAATTTATCAAATGAAAACTTTAAACCCAGTTCATCTTACCACTAGGGCCTTCCGCCATCTCCACTACGTATTTACTGATGGCTGCCCCTCCACTGTCTTTGGGTGGGTCTATCCAAAGAAGTAAAAGTGAAATTAGATAAAATACACACAATATGAAGTGGGGGAAAAGAAAATCCTAATAAACAACAAAAACCTAGTGTTATTTAAAAAGAATTACCTGTAATGCTTAACGAACAACAGCATTACATTATTTTATGCTATTACTTCCATTAATTCCCTCTATTTTTCCATGTTCATAAATATGGCTTTTTATTACAATTTTGAATGGCTGCACCATATTGCTAGCAACAATTTTTAAAACCAGTGCTTATCTTCTGACTTTAAAGATGTTTCAAATCTTTGGGTATTTTGTAAATACAACTAAAAAACTTTTAGTGTGCTAATTTTATTGCAAGGATCAAGTTTATTTCATCTTTATTTTTCCAGAAATTATATCAGCAAGTGTTCATTAAGTGTTTTAAGCGCATTTATCAATATGCTCTCCCAGGAGTGAGCCAGGACCAGCCAGGTGACTTTAGCTAAGTTTAGGAACCTTTTAATCTCATTCATGCTGCAGCCCATAGTGGGTCCTCAGTTCCTCTTTTTTTTTTAGCTCTTTTAAAATTTCCCCTTTTAAAGAAATCTTTTTTTTTCTTATGTTCCTCTTATGTAAAATCTCAGCATGTGTGAATACAAAGCGTTCTATAAAGATTCTTTAATAATGATTTTCCAATTTTTCTTTTTTGAGTTGTTACTCAAGCTAAAAAATTTACTATCTTAAAAATTATCCTGATGTTCAAATTATTAAAAAAGTATTAATGTATAAATATGCATCACATCTTACCCCAAGTTATTTTAAAACTGTGTGAATGTATCTTTCCTTTAACTGAAGGTTTTACAGGAACTCCCGGTTTATCAGGGCATGTAGTAAATTCTACTACTTCGCTTGGATTACTTTTACCTTCTGTGTTGTAAGCAATAATCTGATGAGAACAGACATAAAATAATTAAAATGCTTGATGGAAAATGGCTTAGTGAACAAAGCTAGGAGAGACAACAGGTTCAGTTAACAATACAAGAGTTATTTAAAGACAGTGAAGATTTGTTTTGAGAATCCCTTGTCTCCCCGCAAATCATCGCCCAAGTTTTGCCATTACTAAACCATCTACCCAGTTACCCAAGCCAGAAACCGAAGAAATATTCTTGAATCTTTTTTCTCTAAACCTTCACATTAAATGCTAGTTAACCCTATCATCTCTATTGGCACTTTTCTGTACTCTTCTATCTCTCTGATGAGAGCCTCATTTACCTTGTCTTTTCTGGACTGCATTTTATTACTAACTTCCTCAGCTCCCAGTTTCTATTGCTACCCTTTAACCCAGCTACTTTCTGTACAGTAGTCAGAGGGATCTTAGCAGTTCTCTAACCAAAACCCACAAATGGCTTCATCTTACTCAGAATAAAATGGAAATTTCTTATTATGGCCTACTGTTAGCTGTCACTGAGTTGGTTCTGACTCATGGGGACCCTGTTGTAACAACTGAATCAACTACAACTCACAGCGACCCTGTGAACCACACACAGATGTGAATCTTTCTCTACTCTGAGCCATCATCACGATCCCTCTCCTGCTCAGGTCCACTGTGGAGGTCATTGTTGATCCATCTTGTTGAGAGTCTTACTCTGACCTTCTACCTTTCCCAGAATGGTATCTCTGTCCAAGAAATGGTTCCTTCTGAGAATCCACCAAAGTAAATAGGATGAAGCCACCATCTTTGCCTCTAAGGTACACTCTATCCTGATTTGTTTGTTCTTGTGGCAGTTCAGGATATATTCTCTCTGCCAACGCCACAATTCAAAGGCATGGTTCAAATCCATAAATTGCTCTGTGGGAAAAGATGAGCAATCTCCTCCAAATCTGTGCAATTTACTGGTTCTGAAAACCCTGATGGAGGGTCAGCTATGAGTCAGTTCCAACTCAATGACACACAACAATGAAAGGGACACTGCTGGTGTCTGACCCACCATCATAGCCATACTTCACTGGACAATGAAAGAAGATCAAAGAATCATCGATGCCTTTCAAATGTGGTGCTGGGAAGGAGTACAGAAGACACCATGTATGGACAAAAGAACAAATCAATCTGTTTTGGGAAGTGCTCCTTAAGAGTGAAGGATGGCTCAACTTTGTTTCATATACTTTGGGCATGTTATCAGGAGGTGCTAGTTCTTAGAAAAAAGGTATCATGCTGAGAATAGTAGGGGGTCCAAGAAAAAGAGGCTTATCCTCAACAAGCTAGAGTAACACAGTGACAGTAACAATGGGTCTGAGCACGTTGGAGATTGTGAAGATGGTGCATGACAGGGCAAGGTTGTTCACAGGGTCACTGAGAGTCATAGTCAACGTGATGGCACCAAGCAACAACAACAACAGAAACATAACACCCAAGCCACCACAGAATGACAAACTGACAGAAGGGTGGTGGCATCATCATATATAAGGTCTTGAATGATTTTATCCTGGCTATTACCTCAGGGTGTTTGCACTGGAATTATTACTTCCTCTGCCTGTAACTATAGAAGCAAATGTATATTCTAACACATGAAGAATGACAGTTCATATATTTCTCAGGTATTTCTTAACTCTGGTAAATAAGGAAACTCTAAAATAACTGACTGAGAAGTTTATTTTTTAAATGAAGCTAATAGTATAAAAGAAAGCATAACATATAATTATTATGTACTATATAATAAAATTTTCATTATTAAAATTTTCTAAGTTTAAGAGGTCCTACAACATTTATCCTTGCTTTTTAACAGGGAAATAATCACAAAGTGGTTTCCATCATGTACTTACTTATGGTGATCTGATTAAGCAAGTACTGATAGGAAAATGCAAGTGTTGAATTTCCTGACAGTCCTCCTGCTATATTCTTGGGAAACTGCACAAATATGTCAGCTGGTTTATACTGATCAGTATATTAATTAATTCAAACAGGGAAATGAGCATTTTCTAAGAAATAATAATGTGCATTAAAACAGGAGAAAGAATCAAAATATAGCCTAGTAAAAAGACACAATGTCAGTGAGTGAGGGCCTAAAAATAATTTCAAGAGTCTCCACCATTGAAGAATCTTCTTTTAAACTTGCCAAGTAAGAATGACGTACAGAATATCACCATCATCTTCCTGGAATTATTCAGTCAAAAGGCTAACATGGGCTAAGCAAGGCAAGTGTTTGTGCTAGGAAGTAGAGAAAGGTTGGAGAAGCGTAAGTATGTGCCAAACAGGAACTCAGGCACCCTGAAAAGGTCTTAATGATGGATATGGGGGAGAAAAGGAAGAAGTCTGATCTAAGAAGTAGATATACAGAAAATAATTGGGACAAAGTACCTCATTAATTAAAATGAAGGGAATTAAAGACAGAAAACTAGAATCAACTTCTGGTAATTAACTACAATAGGAGGTTTTGGGTTGGAACTTGTAATTAAAAAAAACTCACAGAAATACATATTGTGTAAATTATGCATCTATTAATGTTATGTATAAACAGGTAAATAGAAATATGTAAAAAAATATTATGTAAGTAAATAAGATATACATAGTTATTGTTTTTAGCTCTGTACACCAAATGAGAGAACCTGGGAACAGTGATACTAGGCTCAAAGATAATAAATACAACCATGCCCAAATCTTGACTTCTAGATACCACGGTCTACTAAAAGTAACCAGAGTTCTTTGAGAACTAGCAGATTCTAGGCTGTAAGGAGGGAACATGAGACTGAACTCTCTTGTGCCAGAAAGTAATGAAGTAGTCAAACAAGATGGTGATATATGCTACAAGGATTTGAAAGCCAGGCTGAAGGGGGTCCCGTATGACAGCTGAGCTTCCAAATCAGTCATGGCAGTAACAAAAAATTAATCCAGTGAGTAAGACAGGAATTCCGAGTCCACACTAATAAAAATCAGCAGATTTAAGAGCAGAAATAATCAAGTTAAATCAGAGAAGGAATGATGAAACTTAAAATCACCATCTGGCAACAATCAGTCATGTTGTTGTTGTTGTTGTTATGTGTCGTCGAGTCGTTTCTGACTCATAGCGACCCTATGCACAACAGCCCTAAACCCTGCTCTATCCTGCACCAACCGCACCGCCTCTGACACACCCATTCCAATTACCCCAGTTACCAAATCAATCCATCTCATAGAGGGTCTTCCCCTCCTGCGCTGTCCCTCCACCCTCCCAAGCATGATGTCCCTCTCCAAGGACCCGTCCCTCCTGGCAACATGTCCAAAGTATGTGAGGATTATTTCACAAAGAATTATCAATGGATCGTAAAAGTATCAGGTAAAAGAAAGCTGAAGACCAAGATATTTACACAGTATACAGTATTTACCAAACATTTATTGGTTGTGGTGTTAAGTACTGTTGAGTTGGAATCGACTCATAGCTGACCATCCAGTGAGTCATCAGAGGCAGTAAATCACATGGCAGGGGACTGCAACTGGTGGATTTAAACCATGTCCCTTTTGGCTGCAGTTCTGAAGTTCAAGGCCATTAGCTGCTCTGTGGGGGAAAAAGATGGGAAATCTCTTTCCATGTGATTAGCTGCCTCTGAAAACTCAGCGGTGGGTCAGCTATCTGACTCTAGGGTACAAAATAACAAGATATCAAAGATCCATAAAAATGTAACGTTGTTGTGCTGTCATGTACTGTTGAGCTGGAAACAACTCACCCAGTGGGTTTCAGAGGCAATAAATTGCACTTCATCTTTCCCTAGCAAGTACTTATTAGTTATAAAATATTAAAGAGCTCTAGGGCGTTGGGTGGCTAATGAAAAGGTTTTGTATCTTTGCACCAGCATCAGCAGCACCTCGGTAAAAGATGATCAGTTATTTCCTGTTAAAATTTACAGCCTTGAAAATACAAAGAAGTGCTGCTATGAGTCAGAACCACTTTGATGGTGGGGAGGATTTTACATTGTTAAAAAGGGACAAAGGTGAGTTGTATAGTGCCAAAAACATGAGATATTTCCAGTAATGGGACAGAATAAAAGTGCATGTCATTTGGAAGAAGAGAGTATTATTTCCTGTGGAATCTTGTAAAAAACTGAGTGTAATTAAAGCCATTTAAAAAGGATACTTCTTTAAATAATGCAAATGAACAGTAAAGCAAATAAAATATTGAATATATAAAGTTTGAGAAGCACTGTTACACAGTATTAAGAAATTAAAAACAATAAAGGATACAAAACCCAAAGTTATTTAAAGTTTAAAAGTCAAAGGTATAAGATATGTATTTGGCTTTACATCAGTGAGAATACTAGAAACAAGAACAAAAAAGTATTTTAAAGACTTTCAAAGATTACCTTGAATTTATACTTGGTGCTACGCCTGAGATTCTTTACCGTATAAGCAAGATCTTCTCCATCATATTTAGGCTTAAAACCATATCCCTGGGAAGAGAAGAAAAGGAAAACAATCTTCATTGGCTACCATTGGAAAAAGGGGGAATATGAAACTCATGAAAAGACATGGGTCCCTTCACCTTCGAGTATGTACGTCGTGATACATGACCTGCATCTCCTGCCCCCACAAAAAAAAAACAAACCACCAACCTGACATCAAACTTTGTGTTGAGGGAGTAAGTAGGTATTAACCATCAGCACACTCATCCACTGAACTAAAAAGATCATTGCAGAGATGATTCACAGCCAAAAAGACTTTTAACTTAACTGTGTAACATATTAATTTCCTCTGAACACACTGTTTAGATGAATAAATTAACAGTTGTACTCACAGGTGCGCATGTCACTCAGTTTTGGAATTGCTATTTACAGCCTGAGAGCCTCTTACTTCACTATGTCCCAAAGTAATTATTTTTAAAAATTTAAAAAATACAGAGCATTTTAGCATATTCAAGAGTGGTAAACTATTTGCTACTACCTAATTAAAAAACATTTTTATCATCACTGCCCCTAATATTCTTGTACAGAGCAGGCAGAGCCCTCCCCCAGGACCTCACTAACAAACTTTGCCTATAGATTTGCTTATTCTGTACATTAAAGGGAATCATACAGAATGCAATCCTTTGTGATTGGCTTAAAAATGAATGTTTCAAGTTTCATCCCTGCTGTACAATGTATTTTATGGCTAGATAATATTTCATTATATGGCTATACCACATTTTATCTATACATTCATTGTTGTTGTTGTCAGATGCTGACAAGTACAATTCATAGCGACCCTATGAACAAAAGATCTGAACCTGGTCCTATCCTGCACCATCTTCACAGCACCTGACTCACGACCCACTGAGCTGTCACCATGTCAATATCCTTGGTTGAGGGTCTTCCTCTCCTTCACTGACCCTCCACTCTTCCCAACCATCATGTCTTGCTCCTAGGGGTAGCACCTCCTAGCAACATGTCCAAAGTACATGAGGTGAAGCCTCATCATTCTTGCCTCTCCAAGACATATCTGTTTGTCCTCTTGGTCGCCCATGGGGGGTTCAGTGCTCTTCTCCAACACTACTGCTCAAAAGCATCAATTCTTTTTCTGTCATCATTATTCATGTCCAGGTCTCGGATGCATAGCTAGTAACTGGAAAGACCATGGCCTGAATCAGATGCACCTTAGTTCTCAAACTGACATCACTCCTCCATAATTTGGAAAGGTCCCTTAACTGCAGATTTCCTCAGTGCAATTTGTCTCCTTATTTCCTAACTGCTCACGCACTTCCTAAACAGCATGCCTCTGGAAACTCTATGAACTTTGATAAATGATGATAGTTAGTTATAGAAAGACTTCAGGCCTTTTGTTTATAGGGTCGCTAAAAGTAGTGCTTGATTCGATGGCAACCAACAACATACCAAGGGTGTTAATTGTGGATCCAAGCAAGATGAAGCTTTTGACAGTTTCAATCTCCTCTCCATCCATCATGACACTGCCTACTGGTCCAGTGGTAAGAATCTTTGTTTTCTTGACATTGAGATGTAATCCATACTGAAGGCTGCATTCCTTGATCTTCTGTAAAAAATGCTTCAAGTCCTCCTCACTAGTAAGGTTATGTCATCTGCATTAACGCAAGATATTGATCAGTCTCCCTCCAATCCTGATGTCACATTCCTCTTCACAGAGTCCAGTTTTTCAGATAATTTACTCAGCATACAGACTGAACAGTTCTGGAGATAGACTACAACCCTGACATACTCCCTTCTCAATTTCAAACCATGTTCTCCTACTCTGTTCATACAAGAGCCTCCTGATCCAGGTATAGGTTCTGTATGAGCACAATCAAGTGCTCTTTGATTTCCATTCTTCTCAATGTCAGCCACAACTTGTTATGTTCCACACAAATGCCTTTGCATAGTCAATAAAGCACAAATAGACATCCTTCTGGCATTCCTTACTTTCAGCTAGGATTCATCTGTCATCAACAATGATATTCCTGGTGCCATGCCTCTTCTAAATCCTGCTTGAACTTCTGACAATTCCCTATCTATGTACTACTGCAGCCATTTCTGAATGATCTTCAGAAGTATTTTGCTTGCATGTGATAGCAATGATATTGTTCAATAATTTCCACATTCAGTTGGATCACCCTTCTTGGGAACAGGAACAAATACGGACCTCTTCCAATCCGCCGGCCAGTTGTTCTCCAAATTTCCTGGCATAGACTGGTGAGTGCATCCAAGACTGCATCTGTTAACTCAAACAAGTTAATTGGTATCTCAATGATTCCTGGGGCCTTATTTTTCATCAATGCCTTCAATACAGCTTCCACTTACTCCTTCATCACTACTGGCTCCTGTTCATATGATACTTCCTGAAATTTTTCTGTGTCAATTAATTCTTTCTGGTAGAGTGACTCTGTTAATTCCCTCCACCTTCATTTGATGCTTTGTGTACATAGCTTGAATGTTGGAAAACTGAAAATTGTTAAAGATGAAATGGAACATATGACTATAGACATACTAGGCATTTGAGAGATGCGATGGACCGGCTATGGCCACTTTGAATTGGAAAATCATATGGTAAACTATGCAGGGAATGAAAAGCAGAGGAAGAATGATATTACATTCATAGTCAAAAAGTCAATTTCAAGTTCTATCCTGAAACAGAATGTTGTGAGTGACAGGATAATGTCCATAGACATACAAGGAAGACCTGTTGACACACTATTACTCAAATATATGCTCATACATCTAGAGACAAAGAGGAAGAAATTGAGCATTTTTACCAAATTTTGTAGTCTGAAATTGACCGAACATGCAATCAGGATGCGTTAATGATACCTGTGACTGGAATGCAAAATGTAGGAGATAAAGAAGAACAAATAGCATTTGGAAAATATGGGCTTGGTGACAGAAATGAAGCTGGAAATAAAATTGTTGAATTTCATAATTGCAATGATTTATTCACTGCAAATTATTTTTCTAAAAGATACAAAAGATGACTTTGCACGTGGATTTCACCTGATGGGCTGGCTGCATAGGAATCAGACTGACTATGTTTGTGGAAGAAATTGTTGGAGAAGGTCATCAGCAGTCAAAACTAGGCCAGATGCAGGTCCAGATCATCATCTGTTAATTAGGTGATGGATGTCTGGTTGTGCCCCCCAACCCCGCCCCGGCTATTATGCATTATGCTGCTATGACATATATTTTTAATTTTCCTGGAGATAGACACATATCTCCACTACTGTGGCTGACTCTGAGAAGAATGGGAATCCCAGAACACTTGATCGTGCTAATGTGAAACCTTTACTTGACTAGGAGGTAGTTGTTGGAACAGAGCAAGGAAACACTGCATGGTTCAAAATTGCGACGTGTATACGCCAGGGATGTGTCCTATCTCCATACCTTTTCATTTATATGCAGAAAAGATCATCCAGGAGGCAGGGCTGTATGAGGAGAAGTGTGGCATCAGGATTGGTGGAAGATACATCAACAATATGTGTTATGCATATGACCCAACCCTGCTTGCTGAAGCTGAGGAGGACCTGAAGCACTTGCTGCAGAGGGTCAAGGAACACAGCCTTCAATATGGATTGATCAAGAAGACAAAGATTTTCACCACTGGGCCAATTGACAGCATCAGGATGGATGAAGAGATTGAGATTATTAACAGCTTTCGTTTCCTTGTTTGCACAGTCAACACTCTTGGCACCAGCAGCCAGGAAATTAAAAGACATATTGCAATGGGAAATTCTGCTGTTAGGGACCTCTCCAAAGTAATGAAGAGCAAAGGTGTCACTCTGCCCGACGAGGATGGGTACGAGCAATGGTATCACTCTGGAGACTAAGGTGTGCCCAATACAGGCCATAGTCTTTGTCATCACTTGCTATGCATCAGAGAACTGGACAATGACTAGGGAGGCTAGAAGGAGAACTGATGCCTTTGAGCTATGTGGTGAAGAGTACTGAATATACCACAGAGTGTGGGGAAAAAAAGAACAAAACCCCAACAGGTTCACCCTAGAGAGGGTTAAACCAGGCTGTTCCTTGGAGGCAAAGATTCTGAGGCTTCGTCTGACATACCTTGGATACGTTGCACGTCTCTGGAGAAGGATGTCATGCTTGGGAGCGTGGAGGGGCAGCACAGTAGAGGAAGACCCTGGATTGATTCAGTGACTGGGGTAGTGGGGGTAGGTGTGTTGGAAACAGTGTGATTGGCACAGTACAGAGCAGGGATTAGGGCGGTTTTACATATGGTTGCTATGAGTCGCAGGCAACTCGATGGCACATAACATATAGTGGTGGTGTTACTACATGACATTGAGTACACAGTAACTCCATGAACAAGAGATGTGAAGTCTTTCCTATCCTGTCCCATTCCCCATCATCTCTGATACACCCGAGTCCACTGCTGCAGTCACTCTGTTAATCAAGCTCACTGCTTCCTAGTACTCGAGAGAAATCCCTGACAGCAAACTTTCCCAATCCATCTCTGGATCTCCTGACTGCTGGTACCAGAGGTGTTGACTGTGGATCCAAGTAAGATGAAATAGCTGACAATTTCAGTCTTTCTTCATCTATCATGATGTCTAATGGCCCAGTGATGAAGACTTTTGTCTTCCTGATGTTGAGATGAAATCCATATTAAAGACTGTAGTCTTTGGTATTCTGCAGCAAACATGTCAAGTTCTTCTCACTTTCGGCAAGCAAGGCTGTGCCATCTGCATATTGCAGACTGTTGATAAGTCTTCTTCCAATCTATGCTACATTCTACTTTATAAATTCCAGCTTCTCGAATGATTTGCTCAGAATGAGCAAGTATACAGAAAGGATACAACCCTTATGCAAACCATTCTTTATTTTAAACTATGCAGTGTTCTCCATGACGTTCATATACCACCTTCTTAGTCTAGGCATAGGTTTTGTGTGAGCGCACTTAAGCATTCTGGGATTCCCATTCTTCGAATGTCAGCCATAGTCTGTTAACATTGAAAAATCATGTGTGGACATGATCCACATGGTCAAATGTCTCTGCACACCAACAAAACACAAATACAAATTCTTCTGGTATTCTCTGCTTTCAAACAAGATTAACCTGACAATAAGGATACCTCTGGTGCCATAGCCTCTTCTAAACCTAGTCTGAACTTCTGACAGTTCTCTGTCAGTGACCTGTTCTAGCTATTTTTGACTGATTTTCAGTAATATTTTGATTGCATGTGATACTAATTATATTAATAATTTTCACATTCTGTTGGATCACCTTTCTTGGGAATGGGAACAGTCAGTTGGCCAGATGGAATTATCCTGGCACAGACTGGTGAGCATGTCCAGGGGATGCATCTGTTAGCTAGAACATGTCAATAGGTATCCCACCAATTCCTGGGGTCTTACTTTTTGCCAATCCTTCAATGCACCTTCAACAACTTCTTTCATAACCACTGGCTCTGTATCATAGGATACTCTTCCTAAACTATTTCAGTCTCAACCAATTCTTTCTGGTATAGTGCCAGTGTATTCCTCCATCTTCTTTGGATGCTTTCTGGATCATTCAAGATTTTGCCCATAGCATTCTCTCAGAATTGCAACTCAAGACTTGAATTTATTTTTCAGTCTTTTCAGCTTGAGAAATGCTGACCAAGTTCTTTGTTTTATTCTCCAATTCTAGCTCTTAAATATTCCATTTTAATACTTTGCTTTGTCCTCTTGAGCTGCCCTTTGAAATCGTCTGTTCAGCTTTTATTCTGGAATCTCTTCCCTTTGTTTCTTGATGCTTTAGTCCAACTTTCAGTCTCTGTTGACATCCACTGTGGTCTTTTCTCATATCTTTCTAATGATCTTTTACTCTCTTCATGGATATCCCTGATGTCAACCCTCAACTCACATGGTCTTTGCTCATTAGTGTTCAATGCCTCAAACTTGTCCTTGAGATGATTTTTAAATATAAGTAGGTCATATTCTGGTTCTTATAGGTTTGTTTCCATTTTCTTCAGTTTCAATTTGAAAGCAAACATGAGTACTTGATGGCCTGTTTCACTGTCGGTACCTGGCCTAATCAGACTGCTGATATTGAGCTTCCCCAATGATTCTTCCACAGATGCAGACAATTTGACTTCTGTCCACCAGGTGAAGTCCATGTAGATAATCATCTTTTGTATTTCTTTAAAAAGGTATTTGTGATGCATAAATAATATACAAAATTCAATTATTTGATCTCCAGCCTCATTTCTGTAACAAAGTCTATCACTTCCAACTACCATTCCTTCTTCGTTTCCATCTTTTGCATTCCAATCCCATGAAATGCAAAAGATGGAATATATATGTAGGAATGGACTAAATACTATTTCAACTAATACTGCCAGAAACAGAATATAGAATAAAACATTTAATGCTTATTCAGTTAAGTTACAGCTCACAGTAGGTAAACTGCTATACAGGTAGATTCAAGGTGTTCTACACAGCTGCACGTGAGGTTCTTGATATTTGTGGCATTTGGGAAGCAGTGTGTGAACAGTGTAAGAGAACCGTGGCAGGCAGAACACCAATTCTGTACTTTTCGAGCTGCTTGTTTAGGAAGGCTGTGGTGACAGATCCTTCCTTTGCCCTTTTCTCCAGATCACCTCTCTCTCTCTCATTGCTGTTGGGTCTGAACTGACTCAGGTGAGTATCTACTGGGTTGTACATCATATAGGGGGAGACTGCCCATCTTTCTCCAGTGGAGTCACTGGTGGATTCGCCTTTGAAAGGTGTCACTTTTGAGTTAACAGTGCATAAAAGAGTCTATGTTGTTCCCAGGCATCAACACAAACCTACACACAAAAACAGCATCATGAAAAACGCAGCTTGAATTTTCCCTTTATCCCAAATAACCTAAGGTTTATTACTATTGAGTGTATCGAGAGTCATGGCATCCCTCTATCAGGTTTCCAAGGCTATGAATCTTAACAAGAGCAGACTGCCTGCTCTCTCTTCTGTGGAACAGTCGACGGATTTGAACTGCTAACCATCCCAACAGATACTGCATTACAACACCAGGGCTCCTTTACTAACTCCCAGTTGTTCCTAAACAATTAACAAGTTAACACTTCAAAGGCTTTAAGGAAGAAGCTAACTGGTGTGGCAATATGGACTACCACCCTGAAGCATGATCTAAATACATTTTAAATTTAAAATCCGTATCTATACTTACTGAAGTTTCTTCCTCCATCTCCAAAATATAAGAAATTCCTTCATCTGATGGTGTTCCTGAGGGTTTACTCCATTGTAAGGATAACCATGTAACCCCAGCTTTAGCTAAAACAGGACTTGCTGGCATAGAAGGGGCACAACCGGAGGTGTGATATAAGACTTCTTCACTAAAATCACTGTTGAAACAGATGGTTTTCAACAAGGAATTGAAAAAAAAAAAACAAACAAAAAACCAACCAAAAAACACACATGTAACTAAATAAGTTTTGTTAACGATTTAAAATCTAAATCATCAGTCTTGAATTTGACAATGCCTTTATGGCAAACAGACTGCTGTGGTGGTGGTGTGTGTTGTTGAGTAGGAATCGATGCCATAGGTGTCCCTAGAGCAGGTTTTCAGAGGCAGTAAAATGCACAGGAAGAGACTGCCCATCCGCCTCCTGCAGAGCAGCTGGTGGATTCGAACCATGTGCCTTTGGTATTGCAGTGCAGTTTCTTACCACTAGGACACCAGTAGCCAGATTAGATGCCAGAAAGTACATTAGTAATCTTTTAGAAATGCTGTGAAAAACGTTCAGGCTTTTAAACTTTTATCTTAATTTATCCAGGAAATGACATACACTAGTTCATAGAAAGGTATGGACACAATGGTAACATTCTTCTGTTGGTGTAAATGTCTCTTCCTTTTTTTTCTACACAACTCAACAACAATGTTTAAACATGACACTGGTTACATTCTTCCAACTGTGCAGCCATTCTTGCTATGCTTTTCCAAGTCATTCTCACCACTAACAAACTCAGTGAATTTAACTTTTTAAACACAGTGTCATCATAATCATTTATATGAAACAGGAAAGCAAATTCTCAGTTACATAATTAAGCCTCTTTGTTCCCATAAAGGTGAAAGAATACATAAAATCAAAATCAGTATGATTCTGAAGGGCATAGGGCATTTGGCATTGCTACTTAAATTAGAAGTCAGATATTTCTGATTCTTTAGAATCCACTGATACAAAACAAAGTAACAAAGTCATAGATGATGAAAATCAACAAAATCTCTCTTGATCACAAATAAAGATTTAATTTACAATGTTAATTTAAAATTCTGGTAGAGTGGCTAGTTTTTATATTTCCTGTTATCCTTATGCAGCTAAGACATTTTCTTACAGATTTTACAAAGCTAGTAATATTAACTCTCTTAAAGTAAAAAAATAAATCTGTGAATAATTTGCATTGTGGATACCATACACTTTAAGTTAACTGGATAATCTAAAATTCCTACATTACTTTATAAATATAGCTTACCTTGTACCATAGTCATTTTTGGCTGACAGTCTAAATTTATAACCCATTGCTGGTGACAGTTTAGTAATCTTAAATTGCTTCTGTAAACCCATGTAACAATGACAAAATTCTCCACTTCCTTTTCCCTGCCAGGGGAGGGGAGGGGAGGATGAGATAAAGCTACATTAAACTTAATAATACACATTATGTTTATTGCAAACCTCTCGTATGATTATGCTAGCAGGTTATGCATGTGCCTGTAATTTATGTGGGTACATTATTTACAAAAGCATACAGCATGTACCCTGAAATACATGCTGTATATCCTAACTTCTACATCTGTAGCTGTAATCCCATTTGGTAAGGGATTGTATTTGTTATGTCAATGAGGCAGGAGTGGTGTATCTCTTTTTTTTTTTTTTTTTTTTTTTTTTTTTTGGTGTATCTCTTTTGAGATATGAAATAGATTAAACAAAGGAGCAGAACAGAGATGGTGAATAGATGTCAAACTACATGAAAATGGCCCAGGGCAGAAAGAGAAGCTCAGAAAAGATCTCTCCAGAGCTGAAAGTAAAAGGACGCCTTTCCCTAGAAGTAGCACTCTGAATTCAGTCTTCTACACCCCTAGACTGTGAGGAAGAATATTTTCTGTACAAGTTAGTCTTTCATTTGCAGCTCTATGATATGAGCACTGCATACATAAAACATTAGTTTAGCAGTTGACAGAGTCAGTTCTGACTCAGGATAATCCCATGTGTGTCAGCGCAGACTTGTTTTCTACGGGGCTTTCAATGGCTACGTTTATTCTTCCTAGAAGTAAAATTACCAAGCCTTTCTTCCGAGATGGCTCTGGGTGGACTTCCAACTTTCTGGTTAGCAGTGGGCATGCTAACTGTAAGCACTATCAAGGATATTCCCTCCACCACCCGCTCCTCCTGCAAGTAAAGCAGTATGCACTGACTCATCTCCATAACACTGATTTGACAAGTAACACATAAGACACTTAACATGTAAGACACAGATCTTAAGATCTCAACCTTTAAGAGAAGGTTCAAATATTTTACTTGAAGGTTGAAATATTTAATATCTTTATATGATATAGTTCATCAAATGCAGAATTAATGATTAGGTAACTCTGTACAGATTTTTGAATTAAAAATGTTTTCACTAAAACAATCTCTTTCCAGGTATGGACTCTACAATTTCCATGAGCAACTAATAGTAGTAAAAACAGAGCATTCAGTGACTTGGACAATTTACGTGTTTTCTTAACATATAAAATCTTCTATGCAAAATATTTTAAGACAGCCACCACCCACTCCTAAATTTTTTCCTAAGCTAAGCTTCTTTAAAATAAAAATTGTGGAGTTGTTATTGATTAATCATTGAAAAGAGTACTGGGAGAAGAAGAAAAAAACCAAACTCACAGACAATAAGAGAAAAAGAAACTAAGAGAACGAAGTAGAATATTTAATAATGGCTAGGACAGTATATCAACAGGGAATTGCCAGAAATTCAAGTTGGCTTCAGAGAGGTCATGGCACAAGGGTTATCACTGCTGATGGCTGGTGTATCTTGGCTGAAAGCAGAAAGTAACAGAAGTATGCTTATTATTTGTGTTTTAGACGATGCAAAGACATGAGACTGTCTGGATCATAACAAGTAATAGCTAAGAGAAGACTGGGAGAAGGACAGCTACTGAGAGAATGGGAATCCCAAAACACTTAATTGTATTCATGTGAAACATACATAAGTAAGGAAATATTGCCTGAATAGAACAAAGGAATATAACATAGTTTAAATATCAGGAAAGGTATATTTCAGGGTTGTATCCTTTCTCTGAAGCTATTTAATATGTATGCTAAGAAAAAAAATTGAGAAGCTGGACAATATGAAGAAAAACGTAACATCAGGATTGGAGGAAGACTTACCAACAACCTGCTTATGCAGATTACACCACCTTATTTGCTGAAAGGGAGGAGGACTTGAAGCACTTGCTACAGGTTAAAAACTGCAGCCTCAGTATGGACTGTAGTTCAACGTAAAGAAAAATAATTTTACCACTGGGCTAATAGGATCGATGGAAAAAAGAATGATGTTAACAGTAGTCAAGAAATCAAAAGACATGTTCCTGCATTGAGAAAAATCTGCAGTTGAGGACTTCTCTACAGTTTTAAAAAGAAAGGATATCAGTTTAAAGACTAAGGTGCAGCTGATCCAAACGAAGATCTTTTCAATTACTTCCTATGCATCTGAAAGTTAGACAATGAGTAAGGATGACAGAAGATGACCTGATACCTTTAAACTGTGTGTTAAAGAAAAATAATGAATATCCCATAGACTGCCAAAAGAACAAACAAGTCTGTCTTGGCTAAAGTGCAACCAGGTTGCCCCTCAGGAACAAGGATTGATAGCAAGGACAGTCTTACATACTTTAGGCACGCTGTTAGGATGTACCAATTCCACAGAATTTTCATTTCCATGGAAAATTGTATCATGCTGGGAAAGGTGGAAAGTCAGAGAAAGAAAGGGAGATCCTCAACAAGATGGAATGACAAAGTTAGTGAGTAGTGGGCTCAAATATTCTCAGTGATGGTAAGGATCATACAGGATAGGGCATGCTTCAGGGTCACAAGAAGTTGTAGCTGACTGGATAGCACCTAACAACAACAGGCCAAATAAAATGGACAAGTTTCTCATTCTTCATCCAATTTCTTTCGTATCTGGCAGAAACAAAGGTGAATTGGCTGACTTCTGCTGAAGACAGAACTTTAACCATACTGAGGAACTAAAAATAGAAAAAGATTCAATTTACTTACTTCATCCCATTCTAAAATAAAGCTTTGGATTTTAGAGCCATTGTCACTAGGTGCCTAAAACAAATGAATGAATATAAATTAGTACTTTCATAAGATACAGATAGTTAAGTAATCTACTATGTTACAGATGTTTTCTGTGCATTTATTTTATAAATGTTTATACACAGAATAGAAATGTATATTTTACACCACACAATCATTTAAATGCAAAAAAAAGAACACAAAATGAAAAGCTATTAAATTTATCTCAATAGTGAGCAAGAACTACTGGTAAATTTTTATAATCCTTTAAAAAAAAATCTCTTTGCCTTTCTATCAGAAAGTTTTATTAGCTTCAAAAAAATAACTGTCAGGGACTAAATGTAACCCTAACCCTAATGTAATCATAGTGTACAGTAAAAGAATGCTAAGTGTAAATCAATCTTTTCAGCTATATTTAGAGAGTAAGAAAAAATGTATGAGTGTTATTTTACACTACAAGAAATGAATGCCTTTTTAAAGTATGAAGAGCAATAGAGAAATTAATTAGCTTAAAGCTTTTGGTCTCCAAAAACAAGTGAAATTTAATGCTATGGAAAAGGATACAAATGTCCATTTGGAAATATTCTACAGAATTTTCTTACCTTCCACTGCAAAGTGAGTGAAGTTTTGGTCCGATTGGCTATCCGTGGAGGATTAGGTACATCAGGTTCACAGCTCAAAGTGGTAAAGCTTTCAGCTTCTGAAGGAGTTCCCTTTATACAATTATATTCTGCCTGGACTCTATAGTGATAAAAAACAAAACAAAACAACCCAACCAGTTTTATTTTGCAGAGCATCATATTATTCTACCTTCAAAAGAAACATCCATAAATATGTGTAGTTGAGCTCTAAATGTCCTTTCCATCTAGAAAATGAGTAGTAGAAATAGAGAGCAGTCCTTAAAAAAAGGCAAAAATAGGACAGACCAGAAAGCTTTCCAAGTTTTTTTTTTTTGGCAATGCAAAAGAGGGATATGTTTAAATTGTGATATAGCTCTACCTATGGTATATATGTATAATTAGGGAGCTCTGCTGGCCTATTGGTAAGAAGGTGTGCTACAATACCAAAGGCACACAGTTTGAGTCCACCAGCTGCTCTGCAGAAGGATGGACAATCTAATCTAGTTCCATGTGATTTACTGTATCTGAAAATCTGCTGGAGAGTCAGGTATGTGTCAATTCTGACCTGATGGCAAATAACATAGTCTATACAAATACACATTTTTAAAGAAGTTTCTGGAGACAATATCTTTGTCCAAGTGCAATGAACAAATCTTTCTATTCCATCTTATTTTCTAAAGTACTAAAAAAGAAAAAATTAATTCCCTGATTCATTAATGGCTGCAACTGGCAATTTAAAAACCACTAGGCTGGATACAGGTAATTCATAAGAAGTTTACTTGAATTAACAGTTTAATATTAATTATCCTAACCATAAATACTTCTATTAAAAATGGTGAGGATTGAAAAAGAATATATGTGGAATACCTCTCAATATGGGCTTTCTAGCATGGATGATTATGTGGAGGGTTGGGACTCTGTGAGTGAGACACGCTGGCTTATCCACAAGAGCACTGGCCAGTCTCAACAACCTACAAGAGGACTGGCTAGTCTCACCAATAAACTGAACAGCTCTAACTGCAGAGAATATGAATCCTTCTCCCAGCCAGAGAACAGAGACCTCCCCCAGACTGGTGAAATGCAGGACAGACAAGCTTTGGGATGGAGACAGCAGCAGCCATGGCTGTACTGAAGAACTAATGTGAGATGAGAGGAGACAAGATCTTGTGGGCTGGGAATGGAGAGCCAATATAGGCAGGACTGAGAACATTTAGCGCCACTAGGCTGTCTCGACTATATCCAGTTATTAATCTGAATTACAATCTTTTGACTTTACCAGTATGGGTCTGTGTGTTCTGTGAGCTATCACAAAGGATTCTGGACACACCAAAGCAGTAAGATTGGTGTTGAGGTGAGTACAAAGAGGTATGGGAGAAGGAGAGAAAAGTTTGACTTCATGGGAATTAGTTCTGTATTACTGAAACTGTGAACTGGGATAATTTCTCTCTGATGTTGATAAAGGTCAGATATGGTGTTCCTCACATGGCCCTTGCTCTTCTTACAATGTATATAAAACAATATGAACGTGTTGCATTGGGCCCCAGCTGGAGATGCAGTAAAGTTATTAAATTTTAGTAAATTATACTAAAAGAAAAAGTATAGAATTAAAAAGTATCTCAGTTACTCCAATTACATGTTACAAAATTCTAAGCATTTTTATACTCCAAGTGCTTATCAAAAGAGGACTTAGTACAAATAAATATGTACAAATCAAGTAATATTTATGACTGTTTTATACAGAGTTCAAAAGCATAAGACAGGGTTCCCAGTGCTAAATTAGGTACTGCAAACATACAAGTGTCACTTGTAATCTCTGGGTCAATGCGATAACCTTTCACTATAGTATGAGTTAAATAAGTCTTTTTAAAAGAGGAAATAAAGAATATTTAATCATGAAACATTAGAAAAACTGAAGTTCATAATTAAAAATTAATGCTTAAGTAGGAAGCTCTGGTGGTCCTGTTGTTATGTACTATCAAGTACAAAATATATAATAAGCAACTCATAGCTGACCCTCCAGCAGGTTTTCAGAGGCAGTAAACTACACTGGAGTTGATTACTCATCTTTCTCCCCCAGAGCAGTTGGTTGATTTGAACCTTGTACTTTTAGGTTCGCAGGGTAGCTCCTTATCACTAGGCCACCAGCCAAAAGGCACATAACAAAAACACTTAAGTCATGTTTTTAGGAAATCGTCTTTTAAAAAATTTAAAAAAACCTTATGCCCCAGAACACTTAATTGTGCTAATGCGAAACCTATACTTGGACCAAGAGGCAGTTGTCAGAACAGAGCAGGGTAACACTGCATGGTTCAAAATTGGGAAGGGTGTACGCCAGGGATGTGTCCTATCTCCATACCTTTTCAACCTGTATGCAGAGCAGATTATCCGGGAGGCTGGGCTCTATGAGGAGAATTGTGGCATCAGGATTGGTGGAAGATCTATTAACAATCTGTCTGCATCATGCAGATGATACAACCCTGCTTGCTGAAACTGAGGAGGACCTCATGCACTTGTTGCAGAGGGTCAAGGACTGCAGCCTTGAATATGGACTGAGGCTCAATGTCAAGAAGACAAAGATTCTCACCACTGGACCAATTGGTAGCATCAGGATGGATGGCGAAGAGACTGAGAATGTTCATAGTTTCAGTTTGCTAGGCTCCATGGTCAGCACTCTTGGCACCAGTAGTCAGGAAATAAAAAAATGTATTGCCATGGGAAAGTCTGATGTTAGGGACCTCTCTAAAGTACTCAGGAGCAACAGTGTCTCTCTGGAGACTAAGGTGCGCCTGATACAGGCCATGGTCTTTGCAATCACTTGTTATGCATCAGAGAGTTGGACAATGACTAGGGAGGACAGAAGATGCCTTTGAGCTGTGGTGCTGGAGAAGAGTATTGAATGTACCATGGACTGCCAAGAAAACAAACAGATTCACCCTTGAGAAGGTTAAACCAAGCAACTCCTTGGAAACAAGGATTCTGGGGCTTCATCTGACATACTTTGGGCATGTTGCAAGGAGGGAAAGGTCCTTGTAGAGGGACATCATGCTTGGGAGGGTGGAGGGACGGCGCAAGAGGGAAAGACCCTCTATGAGATGGATTGATTCAGTGACTGGGGTAATCGGGATGGGTGTGTCGGAGGCAGTATGATTGGCACAGGATAGAGTAGGTTTTAGGGCTGTGTACATAGGGTCGCTATGAGTCGCAAAAGACTGGACGGCACATAACAACAACAACAACTATCATAAAAAACAACATGTGGATTTTCTTACTTTGCATAGTAATCTGTAGCTGGCTTCAGATCATTTACAGTGACATTTGTTTCTTCTCCACTAGGATAAAGCAAAAGGGGAATTATTTGTTATCTTATAAATAAAGCATTTAGAGAAATGTAAAGTAGATTTATTATTACTCTGTGGTACTTTGCTCTTTACCAACTATAATCTTATTTAGTTCCATAATAAAGAATTTGAGCAATTAGGAGATGTGCCAAACATATCTGCACATGAAAAGGTATGCTAATAGGTAAATCAACTGGGTAAGTGGCACATTTACAAAAACGTGTTTGGAGAAGTTGCTTACCTTATTAAAGAAATGAAACTTTCAATTACTAAACATTTATCTTTACAAGGCTAAAATACTATATAAAACTGAAAATGTAACTACCACATTTTTATATGTGGTTTGTCACTACTTAACTTTACTTAGAAATAATGAATAGAGAAGGAAAAAAGTGAAAACCATTTTCCATGGACATTATTCAGTTTTCAAATTCAATAGTGCCTATCTCCCCTCCCCCAGTCAACTATAATTTGAAACAATTACTTGGGTATGTGTCTACAAACGTAGCTATTCTGTATTCGCTCTCCTCTTCTTTGACTATGGGTAAATACACAACAAACAGCCCCCCCCTTTCTTTACACACACCTTTCTTCCCTATTCTATTTCCTTAATGCAGTCAGGAGTGGCATCTACTTCCTAAACAACATGCCTTCAGACTCTGTGTTGACAATTATAGAAAGGCTTCAGGCTTTTTATTCATAGCGTTGCTATAAGACGTGCTCGGCTCAATGGCAATCATCATCATCATCAACAACTACAAAGAAATAGGACTCTCCAAGAGAGATGCAAATCAGAACAACTATGCGGTATCATCTCACCGCAGTCAGAATAGCAAAACTTAACAGAACAGCAAGCAACAAATGCTGGAGAGGTTGTGGAGAAACTGGAACCCTTAGTCACTGTTGGTGGAAGTGTAAAATGGAGCAACTACTGTAGAAGGCAGTGTGACACTTTCACAAAAAGTTGCAAAGAGAGATACCATTTGACCCAGGAATTCTACTACTGGGAATATACCCCAAAGAGACCATAAATGCCACCCAGATACATGCACACCCATGTTTATCGTGGCTTTGTTCATAATAGCAAGAAGTTGGAAACAACCTAAGTTTCTATTAACAAACGAATGGATAGAGAAGCTGTGGCATATTCACACAATGGAATACTATGCTGCATTGAAAAACAAGGAACTCATGAAATATTATTCAAAATGGGTAACCCTGGAGGACATTATGCTGAGTGAAATATCTCAGTCATAAAAGGACAAATACTGCAGAGTGCCTCTGTTGTAAAATAGGACTGACATCAGAGTTGGGGGGAGACTGAGAAAGATGAGATAAGTAATGTATACTGCATTGAAAGAGATGAGGGAGAAAACTGTTTTGAAAGGGATATGTCATGACGGGAATTTGGAACGAATACTGCACAGTTGAGTGGACCTGGGGGGAGGGATTGTAAAACATTAAAATAATTTTTCTTTTACTTTTCAAAGAGAAGAGTGTTCTGGGGGGGGAGGGGTGGGCAGGGAGAAAAGTGCAACAATGAATGAATGGAAATCCAAAGTCTGTAAATTTTCATTAAAATTAGTAATAATTAAAAAAAAATTAAAAAAAAGAAATAGAGGACTGTTTCTCAAATTTCTTCCTTCTCCACTTTATGTACTCACTCACCCCTTTTTCCCCCTGACCCTCAGTGACCCTGTTTCTGATACCATTGTATGAGAAATCAAACATGTCTTCCTGATGGAAATGAGATTTCAGTGAATTGGGCAGGTGTAGCAGCAGCCTCAAGAGACCTTCACTGAAAGGATAAATGAGATGCCAAATCTTTCTCTTGTAATTTTTGATCAAGCTGAAAATGGAGATAATTTCTTTCTCTTACATGCAACCATAGCATAATAAAAATAGTCATCAACACCAAAAGAAGAAGTATTTATGTTCCTTTATACCGTATTTTCCCCTTAGTTTATATTTTTATAAAAATTAATGGGATTAAAACAAGGTAATCTCAGCAGGAAGAAGGAAGCACGACATTTTAAAAAACTGATTATGACTCAAAGATAGTAACTCAGACATTTTCACTTTCTTTTCTTCCCTACATCAGACATTACAAAAAATAAAAAGATAGCAAGAAGATTGATGCATCCAGTGCTCACTGTTACTGATTATGATTTAAGTGACTAATCATCTTCTTTGTAACCTTCCTTGCACTTAAACAATATCAAATCACTCTCAACAAGCAATTTCTATGTAAGGATAGAAAAGGTATTTTTTTTTTAAAAAACAATAAATCATACACATTATAAATTTAGCCACTCTTAAAGCCACTTGGTGTGTAATCTACTTTTGAAGAAAGGGAAATGTACAATGGTGTATCTTAAAAATAAGACTACTGGCGAGCTCTGGTGGCCTAGTGGCAAGAAGCTGCACTGCAATCCCAGAGGTAGGCAATTTGAACCACCAGATGCTCTGCTGGAGAAGGGGGGACAATCTCCTCCTGTACCAGTCAGATCTGATTTGACGGAACACACCCACAAAGTAATAAACTTAAAAAAAAATACTAAGGACCCAGAGGAGCAGCATCACACTGCGTAAGTTCTACTTTGGTTCTTGGGTTCTACACATCACAATTTGTATTTATAACCTGAAAATAAGACAGTACTTAAGATCTATCATGGAGCCCACAGATCTGCCAAAAGCTGAACATGACCAAGAAAAGTGATCACTTAAATGTAATGTCATCAGTTATGTGCACTAGTCTGCGGGTAGACTGTGGACAGAACAAGCATTATTGATGATCAACAACTTATAGATTAAAAATAAAAGTATGAGGGAGGGGAAAAAATAGAGTTAGTATTATCAACTTTGAGTAAGTTACCAGGCAGTGAGCAAAACAGAACACTTACACATAGACACTCCTGTATTTCCCATCTTTTCCAGTGCTTGAAACCAGAATTTCATAACCATAGAGCTCTGGAGCAGTAGTAGCTTCTTCTGTTTCACCATTAATGACACCAGAAGGAGGTGACCAGGTCAGTACTACTGTTCTTGCCTGGATATCAGAGGCCTGCATAAACACAGTTATTAGAGGTTTTTAAACACAACTTCTAAATGCACAACAAACAGTAAAACATCTTTATGAGTCTTTAAGAGCAAATAAAACATACTAGTGTATACTTACATACCATGGCTCACAAAGAGAAACATGCCCATTTATGGATGGGAAATAATGTATTGTGACAGAATGGATAGGTTCAACAAAACTTTAAGGATCATTTAGCCTATTCAAATTTATTAGAGCAAGTATCATAAACACTCAAAAAGACAAAACAGGAAGAAAAGACCCCCTGTAATATATTTGAAAAATACTAGCTTTTCCAATTTAGAAAATGTCTTACAGTAAGAAAAAGGTAAAAGCTCAAGAACAACAAAAGACATGGATAGTCCAAAGAAACAAACAGACTACAGATGATACTTCAACGCAATCATAACTAAATATGCAAATAAAAATACCATTTTCCATACAATGGTTTGAGAAAGAGTAAAAATTTAGTAATATCCATTTAGAGGGATAGACATCTCTTAAACGTGGAAGAGAGTATAAACTGATTGTTGTTAGATGTCACTGAGTGAAGTACAGTTCATAACAAACCTGTCAACAACAGATCTGAACCATGTCCTATCCTGGGCCATCCTCACAATCTCTGACACACTCAAGCTCACTGCTACAGTCACTGTGTCAATCCACCTGGCAGATGATTTTGTTCCTGTATTTATTTTGTTAACTGGTATAT